AGGTTGCGCTTTGGTCCCGCCAGGGAGCGCCACGGGTTTTGTTCTTATCTAGTTCTCAAGCTTACGGCGGGATCAAGATGGCCGCAATCTGCATTTCCGAAAAATGGCACGCTCTGTTAGATTGCTATGGGTAATTCTTTGGTCTGCCGTCTACGGTGTTTGTTTTGCCAACGAAATCCCTCATATCGGACCCATAAAAATACCCGATGATCTTATCGAAGGTCAACGACTTATGATTTTATGTTCAGTAATGCGAGGTACACCTCCAATTTCGTTCTCCTGGAGAAAAAACTCTAACCCATTGGTAAGCTCAACAGACGTGAAAATCATCCATCTGGACGAATTTCAGGAACAACTCCAAATTCTCAGTCTTGGTTTTAATCATGTTGCTAACTATACCTGTCAAGCTAAGAATGCTTTTGGCTCGAACCATATGTCGGTTCAAGTTGTAATGAAATACAAACCTCGCTGGCTACTTAACAATGACAGTCGAGAAGTCCATGGAGTAGCAGACAAAGCGGTTCGTGTTGATTGCAGAGCAGTGGGACACCCAACGCCTAGTGTTACAATCCGGAAAGGTGAGTACTAATAATTTTTGACCTTGTAGTACTAACAAACTGGCACTCATATTTTAATACAAATTTGAATGTGTTCGTAATGAAACAGAATCGTAGATTTGGGATATATATAATCTGCTAAAAAGCGCTATATATGTCTATTGCATCAGGTAGACTTAGCTGTGACAGGTTTCTTTTTTTTTTATTATAGAAAATGACGTCCTCGTCTCCTCCAGTCGCATTCGATTTCTAGATGGCCTCTTGGAAATTCCGCATTTATCAGCTGATGACAAGGGAAGCTATGTTTGTGAAGCATCGAATACCGTTGGAAAAGTGACGAAGACTATCAAAATCTACTTAAATGGTAAAACTGAATCAAATTTTCCACGTTTTATGAATGTCCTTTACGAACGCATATTGCCACCTTGAATTGAACGTCAATAGCATCGGCTATACTCATAACTGACATTGAAATTCCATACTTCTGCGAAAACTGTGAACTATAAGAGGATAGGAAATTACCCTGTTTACTATGTTGTCGTTATTAGTCGAAGTTTCGCTAAGTTACACGTTAATGCATAGAGATGAATTCATCTGGTGTTTAAGAGTGAAGGATGCTGATTAAATTCGAGGACATCGCGTTAACGTTTTGAAATTCCAATGCTTGTGACTGTCCACTAAAGGGTAAGTAAATTTTCTTGAACAAGCTAATTATTATTGTTATTTTAAAGTAAAAAAATACGGTATGGGAATCATGTAGGAAAAATTCCGATATATACATATATATTTTTTATTTAAACTAGTTATATGAAGTCTTGCAGAGCCCACACAAAAGATTTTTACGTTTTGCAGCATATCACTTTTTACGTAATCTAGTTCATCGCCAGTGCACTCTGTGGGTAAGCAGTTTTGCTTAAGATGTCGTTTGTTAGCTGTCTTCATATCTGACATGTTTACACAAGCATGAACTCCTGATTAAAGACCGTTCTATGATGGCAATGCTTCCAAGCGCCTGAAAATGAAAGTTAGATGTTCTATGATTTAAATGGAACCTGTTTGACTGAGTTAAACATAGGAAAGGCTCAGAGAGAATGTCGTTTGGAGTAATATTCATGAATTTAACAGGCAGCTAATGCGAAAAATATTATTACAGAAAAATTATTATTAAGAAACAAGTATTACTTTCTGACAGAGTTAGACGAAAGGCAAACGCAATTCGTCTTGTAGCAAATTGTCTACTAAAACTAGTACCACAGAAGCAAAACAAAACGGTGTAACTCTAAAGTAAAATATGCATTTATAGAATATAGCGTTTTTATCAATGATAGTAGATTATTACAATCTTTGCGAATAATTACTATTACGAATAATGAGTCATAGCTTTAGAAAAGAATGAACCCTTTCCTGCGTAATATTACGCTATGAAAGAGATCCAGAATTAAGTTTAATATAAATGTAGAGACTTATAATGTGCAGAAACGCAGCTTAGAATAAATCTTTATTTTATTTAAGAAGTAGATTACATCAGTCGTAATTTTTGGATATAACAAACTGAAAAATCAACTCATTAGGTGTTTATCCGATTCAAATTAGTCCTCCTATCATGCTAAGCGAGTAATCTACCTTTAGTCCCGAAGGAGGGCGCCACTCGTCTTATTAAGAGTGCTATGGGACACGCCATGGCGGCAGAAAAATGGCGACATCCTATAGCAAAACATCGTTATTAGATTCAGACAGCATTATGAAAACGATTTGCAAATGCGCATGGTGTCTGGCGGTTGTTGTGCTTTTTTTCATTTGTGATTGCAGTGCGACGATTGTTGCACCGCATATAGCCCCTTTAAAAGACCCCGAGGACCTGGAAGAAGGTCAACGGCTGGCTATTTTATGTGCAGTGCGTAAAGGGTCCTTACCAATTTCATTTTCTTGGCGGAAAGATAACGTTCCAATCGTACCTACCCACGAGCTGAGAATTTTACATACAGAAGATTACCAAGAAACACTGCAGATAGAGAAACTGAACGCAGACCATGTTGGTAATTACACTTGTTCGGTCAAAAATATGCACGGTACGGACAAAATGTCGGTGCAGGTAAAGCTTAAATTTCGCCCAAGGTGGATAACGACTTTACCTAGCGCTGGTACAACTAAGTCTGGTGTTAGTGACGCAGTTATTCAAGGAGAAGCTGGAGGTAGTATTAACCTGGATTGTCGAGCTCAAGGATATCCTACACCAAACATTCGTATTTATAAAGGTGAAATAACGATCATTTTTAGCGCTTGTTACTGTGGCATTTAGGAAACGCGCTTCTAAACCTCTATGTTGCAATAAATATGGTTAAATATGGCCATCAGGGTCAAGTGAATTAGAAGAAGGTATCGATTCTAAATGACGTATTATCAAATACAGCTTATCAAATACAGGAGAATACACGGTATTTATTAGTTGTCTGTACATTAATTAATAATACTTAAATAACTGGATAATTTTGCCTCAAGATCGAAGACACAAAAAATTATCTGAAAATTGAAAGTGAACCAATGGGTAGAGTTAGCTTTAGCATATTGAGTAAACCGCATTGTTCTCCCCTTTGGGAATAGAGATCAATTGAGCTACTGGTTTCCATATATGTTTTAAAGTCTGCCTTGCCGTATCTTTATCAGAATATTAAAATGCAGATAATAATGCGTTATGCAAAAAATGGAATTGGTTAGAGATCGCGATCACAAACAAAACATTTTTAGATTTTTATTGATAGATGATTTAAACAATCTCAAGCTACATGTGAAACGTCGTGGAACTCATAACATTGAACTTTTGTTCATATCTAAATATAAGGAGGATCAAATACCGTAAATGAAAATTACTTTTGTATATTTGTAGAGTATCTGAAACAAGTAGAAAAATTAAATAATTACCTACTAAGATCTCTAAAATTTTCAACACTTTCAGAAGGCGTACAAATGATTTCAACGAAAAGAGTGTCCTTTGATGAAGGACTACTGACCATCAAACACGTTCTAACTATAGACAAAGGCGATTATTTGTGTGAGGCCTCAAACAGTCAAGGCCGCATCGTGAGAACTATTACCCTAATGCTCATTGGTAATAATAAAAATATTTGCATTTATTCCGGAAATACTTTTTTTCCATTATGATTATTATGTGCATAATCCGATTAATTCCTTTATCGTGTTTTGCGTTTTTGTTTTTACTTTTAGACTCGACAAAGTGTTAAATCGGATCCGTAGTGAACATACCTCAAATAATCAATTATATTTGTATTACAAAAGAACATTAACAACATTGAAATAGCTACTTAAATATTTAGAAACGGGCCGCGTCGATACCTGATTATCATTGGGTCCCACTAGGCGGCGCCACTTGGACTGTGAACTATAGATGAATCCAAGCTTGCGGCGGGTCCAATATGGAGGCTCATCATTCTAGCAGACATGATGAGCGAACTCGTCTACTCTAAATTTATCTTTTGCACCCTGCTAATGCTTGAAGTGGCGAGTGAAGCACCTCAAATCGTTTCCGTTCGGCAAACTGAGCATCTAGAAGAAAATCAGAGGTTCATTGTGCTGTGCGCTATTCGCAAGGGTTCATTGCCGATTTCTTTTTCATGGCGGAAAGACAATGTTCCAATAATACCTAGCGACCAGGTTCAAATTATGCACAATAGTGACTATCAAGAAACTCTAGAGATTGAAAGGCTGACAAGTGAGCACGTTGGCAACTATACCTGCAGTGCCAAGAATTTGCACGGATCTGATCAGATATCTGTTCCGGTTGTCATCAAATTCAAACCACGATGGAACTTATCTGAGGATATAAAAGTAATTTCAGGAGTAGCTGGTAAAGCGACTGACGTAGACTGCACAGCACTTGGACATCCCAAACCTACAATCAAAATTTTTAAAGGTATTTTCTGTTTACATTTAATGAAAATGTATTGGTTAAAAAATGCATATATTATTTAACATATTTTGCTCTAACGCAGTATTTTTGGCTTGGTTATTTTTCTTTCACCAAGAAAAATGTTTGACAAGAAGAATTAGTTACAAAATTATCACTTTTAAACGTAAATAGTAAGCATGCCAAATATTAAGTTTTAAATAAATAAATAGACCTGCTCTGTGATTAATCAGTCTAACTTTGTAACAATGGTAATGCATTTTTCGATCTGTAGATCTCTAATCAAGTAATATCATATATAATTTAGCCGTAGTTTTGTTTAGGTGATGACATTAATACTGTTGTTTTTCAGATAAAACCAAGTTGATTTCATCAGCTCGAATTGAGCGTCTTGACGAAGGACTCTTGCGAATTTCATCCCTCAGCCCCGAAGACAAAGGGTTATATGAGTGTGAGGCTGAAAACTCTGTTGGAATCATCCAAAGAACACTATCCCTTACTATCACCGGTTTGTGCAATACAGTGTATCTAATTGGACTCAATGCTTCTTTTAGTATTGTTTCATCGACATCTAAAAGATTGCGCACTCTATACATATTACTGTTAATACGTCCTTGTTTTTCCACTTTTTTGCAACGTAACATTCTTGTATCTGTGCCTTCATGTGCGGAATATTCGATAATTTGGTTACCTGAAAATGGGTTATATAAGTTGCTTTACTATATTTCGTTCTTTATGATTAACAGATATAACCAGTCTCATCCTACTTAAAAGATCTAGCATATTTATGTAAAATATACTAAAAAGAAGTACATGTAATACTTTTTTTTTACCGTACGCCTCGTACCAATCCAAATGCTGATTTGTAAGTAAAACGATGAACGCCCTTAAAAGTTCAAACCAGTTTTATGTCATTGGCCTTTTTGGTTAAGCACTGAAAAAACTTCGTGATGTGAGTTATGCTCATCGTTGTATTTTAAGTAGAAGAGAGTTTTGTTTGTGCTACTGTATTATTATTGTGTTATTATGTTGGTTTTATATTTTGTTTACTTACTAGCTAACCACTAGACGATATTCTCTAAAGGATATGTGTCGGAAATACTTACGACGGAACCACCATAACTGTCCGGTGGCCACGAAAAGCTATTATAGCGTAGCCGCTTGGATTATTGCTTTTCACTTCTTCGGTGCGTAGTAGATTCCGTGCCATCTTTCAGATAATGCCATTGCTATTATCCAAAACTTTAGAGGTGAAAAAATAACTGGTTATGATATGTGCTGTTGTCAAAAGAAGCCTTCTATCTCGTTTCCTTGGCGAAATGATTTTTCTTTGTCTGAATGTAACGACAAAATTGTTCATTGTGCTGATCATATGAAGACTCCTTGAATTTTCAAACCTAGAGCCATCATATCGGCAAGTCCCTATACACTGCGAAAAATGCGTGTGGTTTAGGCCAAATGTCATTTGCACTTGCGCTAAGATTTAAAACCTGATGGGATGTACCCGAATGACAAACACCCTATCACCGGAGTAAGCAGCAAGAGTGTTCAGTTTGAGTGCTATGCAATTGGACATTTTTCACTAGACATTCCGAGGCGAGATACCTACTTTAAAATTGTGATTCAAGCGGTATGTCTAGAGCCCAATTTGCAGATAGTACACAAACATGCAAAAAGTTACGTTACCGATGTTAAGTCTATTACCTAACGGCTTTATTCAAATTGCTTCGTTATCGACAGAAGATAAGGAATAATTCAAATACAGGATACACAATTTATTTGATTTTATTACGAAAGCAATACAGCTTGTTGTTACTAGCTGATGTCTTGTTGTACAAATATAACTTTCATTGCAAAGTTTTGCAACTGCAGTTGCGGGAATGATAAGACACAGTATTTTTTTCAACCACATGCTGTTTAGTGTATTTCTATACCTTTTCCAAAAACTTTCACTTGTTCTTCATTTTTTTATATCCCCACGGTGCTTCTAAAGAGCTTAAAGTGTAGATAACTTAATGTGAACACTTAATAATACGCAACTCATATCAGGTATTTGTTTACAGTTAACCTCGAAATATTTATATAGCTTGTAACCGAGATAAAATATTGTCATTGCTAAACTATTTGTATTTATACAGTAACGGATTTGTTCAGAACCCGTTATCACAATATAAGCAAAAAGGGGTTGTAACAACTTAAAAAATTGTTTCGCAGTTGTTTGTTTTCATGAATACCCGTCGAATATGTTCATTTATTCGCGGCATTTCGGCGATGTCTGTTTGTCCCTCCAGGGGACGCCACCTGTATCGGCCATCGATCCAAAATCTTTGCTTCAACTTTCAAAATGGCGGCTTACTTAGTCGTCAGGCTAATATCGTAAATGATGCTAGCATTTCTTATTTTTATTTTTTCATTGGCCGTTGCTCAAGGTGAGTATCTACGTATTTTAAATGTCCAAATGATATATGCCTCATATGAAATAAATTTTAATAGTCAACGTTGTTCAGGATAATTTACAAGTCGATTTATTTGCAACATTTGTCAAGACAGCTCATTATGAACACTTTCGCCGTTCTTTTATTTTCAGTTCCTCCTGAAATTACACAATTCCGTATGCCTGATGATCTCTCGGAAGGTAAACGCCTTACACTCATGTGTTCAGTTAGTGCGGGCACACCTCCAATAACCTTCTCATGGCATAAAGATGGCTCCCCAATTGGGAATGTGCCTAATATTCGTGTTGTACACGTCGATGAGTACCAGGATAACCTGCAAATTGAAAAACTTACAACTGATCATATTGGAAATTACACTTGCAATGCAAAAAACCTCTATGGGTCAGACCATCTGATAATGCGGGTTATTATGAGATTTCCACCCAAATGGAGCAATAATGAGAACCAGCCAAATCAGACGATCAATGGAGTTGTGGGTGCAAATTTCACCATGAATTGCTCTGTCATAGCTCATCCGGCAGCTGCAATCAAGTTTAAATTCGGTATGTATGTGATTTTTGCAAATTTCAAAGGGTTTCTGTTGAGTAAAGGCTACGCATTTCCATTTTTCAAAAGAATTTGAATAATACTATTTTTTTTGCAATCGCGTCTAGGAAAGCTTGTGTTTATCAGATGATGTTGCTATAGTTTAAGCAACTCAAGAGCATATATAAAGGTATTGGAAAAGAATGACATCAAGGTTTGGATAGATATATTTTATGTAATTGGTCTGATACTCCCTTGATGTTCAAGGATTTGTTTTAAGTAAATTTTTTATATTGTGGAAAAGTCATTCATTAGCATCTTGAAAGCAAAGTGAAAAATAATTGAATTTCAGTTCAATAGTATATTAATACAAAGACCTGTTCTAAATACGAAAGCTTCATTGTTTCTTGACTTATTTACTTTTAAGTGACTAACTTGAAAATAATTAGGATTTGAATGTACTTATTTGAATGCACATTTTAAAGGCATTTATATATCTCACGTATATTTTTATTATTATTTAGGACTATTTCTTATTGGCTCACTCTTACAATGACTCAAATTTCAGGAAAAGTCGAGCTTGGCCCGAACGATCGCTATCATATAATTCCTGGTCACCTAACAATTCATAAAATTATTCCAAAAGATCAAGGAGAATATACCTGCGAAGCCTTCAACATTTTAGGAAAAATCTCAAGAAGAGTATCGCTTCAACTTAGCGGTAGTTCTTTTGTGATATTGACTCATAGACGTTGTGCATTTGTTATAGAAACTTGCTTTGTTTTAGCGCCACTTATTCAAATCAGCCGACCTTCAAATTATAAGTCTAACAGAGTAACTCAGCGCGACTAAATATAAGATACACGATCACGTCCTTGTAACGAATTGAATAGATAATAATAATCTCGTTTTACAATAATATTTTCCCTTACTGATCGGCATTTCACGTTAAGTCATCAATTTCCAAATAGTTCCCCCAGAGGGAGCTACTAGTATTGCTAAGTTATTGACGATACTGTTTTTTCCGAGTGCAGCACAGCAATGGCGTCGGTCGTATATCCGACGCACGAAATATGCATCAACATGCTTGTCTGCCTGTTAATAATGTGTTTACCTTTCGGTCGAACAATCGGACAAGGTATGTACTGTGTTACAAAATTTTTGATAGTTTTTTTTTGGTTGTAAGACAATATGCGAAAATAGAATTCGACGAGAAGGCAATATAAGGAGGCTGAAAAAATTTTTAAATTATTTTTTCTTCAAACAAACCTCCCATTTTTGTTATTAATACATCGTTTGCGCGGGAAAATCTTTTCAAGTATCATCAAAAAAGGAGTGATTATAAAGTCTGTCACATGTAATTGCTATCAGCTAAACATGACATTTCTTGCAGTTATCCCTGAAATTGCTACCCATAGAAGTGTCACCGATTTATCAGAAGGAAAACGCGTGTCCCTTATATGCTTAGTGATATCGGGGACCCCTCCAATTTCATTCTCATGGACAAAAGATGGCGTTCCCATTGGAGGCCAATCCGGGCTGAAAATTGTTCACTTTGACGATTTCCAAGACCAATTACAAATCGACAGTTTAACAGCCAAGCATATGGGAAACTACACATGCAACGCAAAAAACCTTTATGGGTCAGATCAGATGACAGTTCCAGTGACTATGAAATTCGCACCCAAGTGGGCAGCAGAGAGTGAGGAAAGCCACAATATTCTAGGGGTAACTGGAGAAAGTCTACAGCTAGATTGTAGGGCCATCGGTTTTCCCCAGCCTCTTATCAGAATACTTAAAGGTAAGAGAAAATGCGTTATACTAAATTTAGAATGAGCGACACATCTATGTTATTGGTTTTCAGATATATATATATATATATATATATATATATACGCAGGTTTACCTTATCTAACTAGTAACAATTGTTTAACGTAGTGCATAGCAAAGCAAATAGGTGAGTTGAAAAGCTTTAGTCATGTGCAACGAAATTTTTCTTTAAAATATCTAGTACTTCACCATTTTTCTAAATATATAGCGAGCGTTCACTATTAGTGTCGCGAAAATCACAAGAATATTATTTCTGAATATTCCAGGGTCAGCTGAGATACATAATCATCGGTTGGTAAGAGGCCTGTTAACTATCGAGTCATTAACATCTAACGATAAAGGCGAATACCACTGTGAAGCTTCCAACAGTCTTGGAAAAATCGTTAAAATTGTCACCGTTAAACTCAGTGGTAAAGTGCCGCTCTAAATTCAATACAGACGAATTCTCAGGATACGAACATTGTCTACTGACTTTTTTCTATAATTATTGCATCGCAAAGATGTTATGTTCTTACATGCTCCAGTGAACTGACAAGAATTCTGACCATAATCAATAGATAGAACAAAATGCGTTTAATTTTTTATTTTTCATAAACTATCACAAGGTTACAAAATGTCCCACTAGGAGGCGCCACCGGTATCAACAATGTGGGTACAAAATAGTGACTGCCATTAGTAAGCGACTCTGGTTTGTGTTTTCAACTAGCTAGTATGGAGGAAAGAACTCTTATAAGATGGACTCTGATTAATATCTGGATATTGTGGCATCGAGCAGAATGCCAAGGTTAGTACATTACATGTAAGTACATTTTTACATAAAACATTTAATTATTATTTTCGTAAGAATCCATAATAGGCAGGTGCAGACACCTTTTGCACTATATAATACTAGTTTATATCTTTCGATGCCTAATAAAGACATGTCTATTACAGTTCCGCCACAAATATCGCCTTTCAAAGTCCTTGAGGATCTCTCGGAGGGCAAGCGCCTATCTCTGCTGTGCTCGGTAGCATCAGGTACTCCACCTTTTTCATTTACGTGGAGCAAAAACGGGCGACCCATCGATTCTCGGAGCGATGTCAAAATCGCCCATTACCATGATTTTCAAGAGCAGCTCCAAATTGAAAAGCTTACTGCTGAGCATGTAGCCAATTATACATGCACAGTAACGAATTCCCTAGGCTCAGATCAAATTTCGGTAGCAGTGGCTTTAAAATTTAAACCTCGTTGGAAAAACGTCAACGAAAATCAAACTTTAACTGCTGTAGCTGGTGAAAAAGCCAGGTTGGATTGTGAAGCAGTTGGACATCCATTACCAGTGGTGAAAATCCATAAAGGTATGTTGATTCTTTATCAAAATATACGTATGGCTAACTTGAGCTTATATTGTTCGCTATTCTTGAAGTAAACTTGCTTGTCACAGGGTAGCATCAAATCTTAATCATAGTAACGGATTCTCGATGATTTTAGACCGCTGAAGGACTTCAAATTGCAATTTTTCACTCTTGTATATGCAACTAGTGTGAGTGGTATGGTGTGTAGACACATATTTGGGGGTAATGGACTACAGAGCTATTGACAGAGAATATAGATATAGTTAACAAATGATTGAACTAGTGCACCGACGCAAGTTAACTAGCAAAGTAATATTATTACTGATATGTGAAATTACTTTCAATGTTAAGGAGACACGTTTGTGGAGTCTTACTAGAGCTTCTCTAAAACTCGCCACTTCCTATAATTTGTGCTTGTGCTGCGCGGAAAAGAGCGTGACAAAATGATCTATTTTGTAATACAAATACCTTTAGAATATCTAAATAATATGTGCCCGCGCTGGATCACTAAATGCTCAAACAAACCCAAACTGTTGCGATACTATCCTATAATATCTGACGGTCTAGTTTGTTTGGCCGCTAGTGAGGATTAAGTCGAAAGCTGCAAAGTTTCAAGTAGCGATTTTTAGAGTTTTATAAATCTAGTAGAAAGTAATAGATATCCAACAGACGTTTAAATGCTGTTGGATTCGAATATATTTGTTTACACATGAGGTTAACTCTATTAAATACCTAGACTTGCTATATATTTCAGACGGCACGAGAATCGACGATTCCCACGTGAGGGATGGCATCTTTTCAATTAACGCAGTTTCATTCGGAAATAAAGGCGACTATAATTGTGAAGCTTCTAATTCTCTAGGAAGGATCTCTAAAACCATCACCCTTCATCTTAGCGGTAACGAATTAGCAAAACTCTGTGCCCGCCAGTATACTTTTATCGCAGACGGATCCGAATTGACAAATAAATGTTTGCAAAATTAATACTTATATTGTCAGGTGAACATAAATCGAATTAATTCTATAATAAACACGGTCTTTTATTAATTACCATTCGTTTATTCTATTTTATGAAATATATAAAAGCGCATGGCCTCTATCGTGTTTAATGTGTTAGTTTCGAAGTGTCCCACAGGACGGAGCCACCGGTACCATAATCCAAGGCCTTAGGCATGCATTTCGTTGGATAGGTATAACGGTGCTCTCCTTCATTTTAACGTAGTGTATGGCTGTAGAGCCTGCACCACCATGCAACTGTCGCGGATTGCACTTTCATGGATTATATTGCCACTGTATGTCGTTTGCCATACAAGTTCTGTTCCACCTCGGATTTCACCGTTTAAAGTTGTCGAAGATCTCTCAGAGGGACAGCGCCTTTCTTTGGTCTGCTTGGTATCAAGAGGCACACCACCGATTTCATTCTCTTGGATGAAAGATGGTAATCAGCTAAATTCGGTAACCGGAATTAAAGTCTCTCTAGTCGACGAAGATCAAGGACAGTTAAAAATTGACAGATTATCCGTAGACCATGCAGGAAACTATACTTGTTCCGCCAAGAACGCCTTCGGAGCAGATCAAATGTCTGTAACTGTTGCATTAAAGTTTAAACCTCGCTGGCTCAATGATGACAATGACGTTATAAATTCAGTGCCAGGTGTACAGCTATCTATTGACTGTCGGGCAGCTGGACACCCTCAGCCAACAATTAAACTTATAAAAGGTATTAATATGTTCGCATTTAAATTTCCCATATTTACTGGTACATTACCGTAAAAGCACATATTATGAACATATCGTTAGTTGAATATTTATATATATATTCCTGATGTGTCATGCATTTTAAGTATTTCCGTCTTACTCATAGGCAGGCTAACGTAATACCGATACACTAGCCTGCCTACGTATAAAATGTACAAATAAGCCTCTTGTAAATACGTTTCTACTAGTAGACACTAAAACAACATATTTTTCAGGTTCTGATGAAATCAATGGCACAGAACACGAAAACGGATTCTTTACAATTGCTTCAGTATCTGTGCTCAATACGGGAGAATACCGCTGCGAAGCATCCAACTCTCTTGGAAAAATTCACCGACGAATAACGTTGTCTCTTAGTGGTACCATATTCATTCCACCATTTTTGTGCATATTTATCTCCGGAATAAACACATCAGAACGACGTAATGCAGATGTGTTTGCCTAAGATGATATAGGTATTGAACTATGTGTCATAGTAAGTTACGGTAAAATAAATCAAATTATTGTTATGCTACGTAAAAAAGATTGTCATCCTACATTGGCAGATTGTTGCGCCTCAAGGTCGTCTTGCTCGTAACTGAGTCGAAACCTGTCGACAGCAAATTGAATTATATGTATATTGAACCTTTTATAACGAATAAATTGGATGATGGGAAAAAATAACTTCAGTACGAAATTAATCTGTAATAATTTTAGTAAACGACCGTTTGCAATTTACTTTTTTTAATTATGAAGCAATCATAATATATATGTATATGATCTTCATGTGTGTGATACTCTCTTCCGTATACAAAGCGGTCTGTGAACTAATGAAATTGCGTTGGGTTGAGCCAGACTAACCGTGTATTAAATTATCGACACAATTTGTGATGGAGTTTAAAAAAATTATCAAAGTGTTAGTGAACCATTTACTTTAATGAGTTGAATTAGCCAACTTACGTTTCAACTTTACGCCCTGCCTGCAGACATTTAAATTCGATACCTCTTTCTTTTGCCGTTTGTATTATAGTTCCAGCCCGATTCAAGGAGAAAACTGCTGTCGTGACATCCCGTCGCTCTGAAACAACCCGGCTGAAATGTTACGCTCTCGGAGATCACCCCATCTCCATCGTGTGGTCGAAAGGAAACGTCAAACTAGACAAAAGGACTAGTTCGAGGTTGACTCACTGTTATATTTAAGTAATACTATAGTTTACTTAAATTTTTTACGATCAACGATACCGAGTTTAAGTTGTATATATACCTATACAAATCAGTATGATGGTTTGTTATGAAATTACTTCATAGCTGCACCCCAAATGGCTCAAAATGTGCATGATTAGTGTATTTCCATTAACACTAAACAAATTCTGACCTTAAGGACTTCTGTGAAAGCATGCTAAAGCACCTAAAAGCATGCTTTTAGTTCTTTTTTTCGCTTAAGCCCTAGACGAAAACACAATATTGATGCATATAAGCCCTCACAGTATTTAAACCTGTACCCTTCTAATTATCGTCAGGTACCAGATTGTTGAGTCAATTACGACGGATGGCATGAACTCTGAACTCCTGATTCGAGAGACCGATCGCACAGACTCAGCATTGTATTCATGTAACACCGAAAACAAGTTTGGAAGTGATGAGCGTAAAGTAAAACTTATCGTCAAAGATGTTCCTGGACCACCACAAGATGTTAAGGTAAATAAGCAAATGCACCGTAGTTTTAAATTTTAAATTCTGCAATCTAAGCTATATTTATCTCCAAGGGTTGTGTAGTATCTGTCATTGGCGGGACTCAAACTAATGACCCCTGGTCTGTTTCAACAAGAGCCTAATTATTCAAGCACCTGCATTTTTTATAATAATTTTTTGCGGTAAATAATTGCGGTAAAAATTTGCGGTAAAAGCAATTCTTTCTAGACTATTTAGACAAGCACAGAGAGTAGCTTAAGTATTCATGAAATGCATTTCAGAGCTTAAGTCAAATACGACATTCCTTATAGGTCCGTGATATCTGGTCGCGTTCCGTATCGGTGCACTGGACACCTTCGTACGATGGCAATAGCCCTATAACCAAACACATTGTACAATACTGGAAGGAACATGGTGTATCGTATAGGTTACAAGAAATGGTGATTCCATGGGCGCAGCAAGTCACTCTCGTGCGCGACCTCCAGCCAGGGACCCAATACGTACTAAGCGTGACGGCTGAGAATAACATGGGCAAGAGCGAACCGTCCCGCACAGTGACTTTCACAACGAATGAAGAAGAGCCTGAAGCGCCTCCATTAGATGTGAACGCCATAACGCAAGGACCAACGACTGTGCTGGTGTCATGGAAGGCCCCTCAAAAAGACGCCTGGAATGGTGATATCGAAGGCTACTACATTGGCTTCAAACCGAAAAATTCCGATGGAAGTGCATCGTACAGGAGGGTAAGTGAAACTAAGTTAATTATAAGTGGTATTCCATTGCAATGTATATATATATATACGACAGCGGAACATACTACTTATACACGGAGTATCTACGCTTGTAGATCATAGGATGCTCATTCTTGATTTGTGTTGTTTTGCACATTCGCTAATAAAAGGTGGACCAGACGAACAATATCACGCATGAATTCATACTTCAAGGTCTCAATAAGGGAACGGAGTACGAGATCACGGTCAAAGCATACAATCGCGCGGGAACAGGACCTACCAGTCCGGAAAGACTGGTCATGACTAGACCTGGCGGTAAGGAAATCATAGGCAACAGGGTTTGTTGATTCTGAACTAAGTAACGGACTTATAAAATATGTATTTAATGTTTTTATACCTAAATATATAATAATGATTAGTGAACGTTAAAATTACAGAAGATTCACCCGATATTCCACGTCTATTCGTGGATGCTGTCACTGCAGAATCCATCAAAGTCCACTGGCAACTTCGCACGGGAGGACTGAAGTTTAGTGAGTACTTATCTAATCGCTTAACCTTAAACGTCGCATCGTGGACAGGAATTAAACCCTGAACGGTATAAAATGTAGATTATACTGAGTTCCTTGTTTAATAGTGTAGTAGTAACATTATCGTTTGTCATTCTCTCTTATCGAATGCACATAAACACCTGCCAAAAAAGCTGAATTGGCAGGAATTTTGTAGCTCGATAACTAAACGATTTTCGAATGAGCTGCGCAGATGTCAAGGAGTGTCTTCTTGCACAGCCATGATATAACATAAACTAAATTTATTTGACATTTACTGGCTCATGATGCGCTAGATTATACGGTGCATCATCGTCAAGCTGACGGTGGCGCGTGGCTTGAGAGTATCATAGTGAATGCAACGAGCAACAGCTTCACCCTGGAGGGTCTGCGAAGTGGCACCACGTACGAGATATTCCTTACAGCATCTAATGGAATCTTACGGGGCGACCCCTCACAAATTCTCAAAGTTCAAACACTTCGATCACGTAAGTTAACAAGTCAACCAAATGATCATGAACCAGCTCGATGTTTTATTGCATTGACGCAAACAGTAGTAGTTCAAGTAAAATTACAGTAGGTCTACAATGAAGTTTAGTGTCAAACATTAACAGAGAAATATTTGAATGCCTTGTCATTTATAAGTGAGCTTGATTTCGACTGATACCGTAACCTCGGCGAATTCACGGTTGCTTTTACCTTATATCAGGCGACCAAATAGCTAACTCTCCGGGCCTCAATGGATTTCGTTATTAAGATGTCATCAGCCGACAATATAACACATACGCACGGGCGATACCTCACTGTACTTCTTACTATGCTATTTGTCCGACCGCTTAAATGAATATTTGCGAAATGCTTCCATTAAATGAGTAAACAGTTTCGCTAATTACATTGAGTTGACAGAACTTTTCTATAAAAAGACAATTGAGTTTTCGCGTTAAACTTGAGCTTTTCAGGAAGTTTTTAAAACTGCATAGAAGAAGCGAAGACAAGTAACTAGTACATTACTTCAATTGATGTGTTGACATCGTAAATATTGTTCTGTTGACTATGTTTCTCACTAATCTTGACACGGACAACACCTACAGCGGACATGTTAGTCGAAATGTTCGAAACTGACGGAGAACTTCCACTCTACTTCAACATGTACCTCATTGTCCCAGCAGCAGCCCTTGCTCTCGCAATAATTGTCATCGTGGTCAGCTCGTACATTTGCTGTCGACAAATGAAGAACGTCCAACAGCCTTTACCACAACAGGGTGAGAACCGAGATCATAAAATAGTGCATCAAAAAATGCGCTTTCTACCACTGCTTCAACGTTTAAATATATTTAGAGACCTTTCATTTCCACAACGATTGAAGTTCCTCCGTTCTTTGCGTTATGTCAACACTAGGTAAATAGAGGTTATGATTATGAAAACGCCGCAGTATAATAAACACATCTAGTAAAGCATGTTTTTATTACTACTTTATACTACCTGACTCATTCTATAAATAAACCAGCATTCAAAGCACGTTTCGACATATTTATACTTATCTACTCATTTTGAAATTCGTTTCTCTGCTTTATGGTTATCGGAAACTTTACGAAGAAACGTTTATAATAATCCTTTGCACGCGCGAGTGATTGCGATCATATCTGAAAGACCATAGGAAGGATAATCGACGAGCATCGACTAGGAAAACGAAACTGATCAGTGTCCCCCAATCAAAAAAAGGACATTTTAAGGTTAAAGGTAATCATTTGTTTCGATTAGTTGAATCAAAAAAGACTAACATTAGGGCTATGTGTTATTGTATGATGGACTTCCGACAGAGTTAGCGTTATATGGGACGGTGATGCCCCAGCGCTGTGTGGATGCTGCGGGAAATGAGTTCACTCTCGCCTATGGCACTGTTCAGACTCAGTCTGATTCTGCGGCAGTTCAGCTTCAGGCGCAGGCGGCACAAATGCAGGCAACTACCGCTGCTACTCTTGTCCAAACTACTGGGAACACCAACAATACTGGTACATGGAGTCGCAAAGAGGCGCCTAAGGTAAACTACACCTTTGAATTTGTCCATGATGCAACGCAGTGATACTTTGCACATGTTAATATGGGATTCCGTACTTGTCTTCGCGTAAAAAAGCCGCTTTATTATGTGACGCAAGCATTTACACACACAGATCGCAGAGTATTCGAAATCTACACCAGAAACAAGTTTCGTAAGAGTCTGCGTAATATTCAAACAGAGCAATATACCTTTTTGCGAGATTGGCTATAAATAGGGTAACTTACTTTGATAATTAAAATTTTTTGCTGTTTCAGAACCGACCGTTACCAATTCCAACGGAGGTCACCGACAAAGCCACGGGACACTTTTACGACAGCGCCCAATAAAAGAAACGAAGAGTCGTCTAGACAGACATGCTTAACAGTTATCAATATTAGCCATATATACCCATTCGTATATTGACCTCAATGGCAGCCATAACCACGGAAGTTATTTTGTAGTAACATCAAATACTGGCTATCCTAACATATATCGAAAACATGAGTCATCTCCATATAACCATGTTGTTAATTTCAACTAGTTAATTTAGTGCTCAGTGAATAAATTCAACGTACTGAAAATAGCAAGACCTGCTTAAATGCATCTTACAGAGCAGTTCAACTAGGATTTCGTTTCCGCGTGCAGGTTTGTTCCTCGGAAGAAAATTGATCAAGATTACAACGGTATAACAGATTTGTACACCCTGGAAATTCTTACGAAAATAGTATTTGCTCACCTTGAAATGTTATTAATATTAAGGAGTTTAACACGAGAACGCTGAGCCACGATTGAAATCAGTGTGAATGTATCTCACGTAAGTGATCTGGACGCGTGATCGCAATATACGTACAAACGTGTAAATTAAGGAAAACATGGCTTTCTGGGGACGGCTTTTTTGTTTGCAGCATTATGTACCGGATATTTACAGAAACGAAACTATTCTTATTATATGTCGACAGTATCAAAACTTAACTTGTAACTGACATCTACATACGTTAATGTAGCTCGAAGAATTAATCATACATATGCATTAAGACATATGTGAATAGAAAGAGCATCAGTGAACAATTTTTATGGCGCACCTTTAAAGGACCTACTCGAATACAGATAAATTATACAATATATAGTTTTTCGAATTTGACTATAATGTTGCTGCTATCGATGGCGATGATGGTTGGCAACTTGATTGACACCTGCTTGAGTATACACTTTCCTTACATTTTCAATGGTCAAACATGAATGCGATAAAAACGATCCTCTTCGAACCTGCAGTGGCACTGTACGCAAATGCGCCCCATGCAGCAAGACGTCTACAACAGAAAGAATACCTTCCGATAGAGATTATTTGACAAAGGTAACATGTATTTGTCTGTGAATGTGAATGAGTATATTAGAGAAAAACTTAGTAGGGTATACGAAATGGACAAAGATCTTCACCGCTTACCAAAAGTCCAGACAGAGTGTTGATTTCTGGAGAAGCGATCAAGGAAACAACATACTAGTCATTGTAAATGATCATTACTAGAGGACTGCTTTCAGTTCCATTTATGCACATCTATGTACTATAATAATAATAAAGAGGCATTACGAAAAATGAACGCAAAATAATATAATCGATTATAACATAAGTGTGGGGATGAGAGTTTACATATTTATATTATGAAACGATGAGCGTAATAACCAAAGAGAATGATACTACTATCGTGATATACGTCAATTTCACGTTACCATCTATTATGGAAACGGGGTGGAAATAAAGATTAAATTACATCGTTTTTACAATGCTTTAAACGAGTTTTTAATTTACGACGATTTGGTTGGTTCAATATGAGATACTTGATCACATAAATTATACAGCTAGTAAAAGCTATATATTTGTATCAAGATATTTTCGGTTCTGTATTTGCAAATATGGATGCATGCATTGAGTGAAACTATTCTTAGTAACAAAAATAAGAATAATTTTTATCTCAATAACATTTAAACTCAACTTGGTTATTGACGTTTCTTCGATAATTAAGATTTAACCGATACGAATAATAATCAATATCATGAAGAAATACAATGCCAATAAAAAAAATAATTCGGGTTGATAAGTAACAAGTGAAATTGCGAAGTTTGTTACAAATTTCTGTATCTTCGGTTTCTGATCATTTTCCTTATCTAAACTCTTGAATATCCTTTTCACTAGGAACCCAAAATCGCCTGTTTTCTACCACTGGGGTTCTCATATCAAACTGCTGACCCCAAGCTCGCATGATTTGAGCGGGGGAACCCTAAAGTGTGGTCTGTTTCTCTCCCCCGCGGAAGCGTACTTTATAACGAAAGAGCCGCTGGCCCTGCGGGGAGCGATGATATACCGAACAGAGAGTTCCCTTTGCAGAACTTTTCATTGTAGATTAGTCACCCCTCACCTCTCCTGCTCCCTTGGCCTGCACCACATATGCTTAATAGAGGGAAGCCCGCGAATGAAGCCGGTCGCGCCTCTAGACGGGTTGCCGTTTACCAGTAGAATGAAAAGATGATTTTTCATTGTTGTTTTTGTCTCGACTGTGAGGCGCAAGGAAGATTCAAACCTTTAAGCGGCTATTTGAATTTGACACTTCAAAATCTTTGAACGTGTAAGAGTTAGTTTTTCGTTACGCATAAACCTAACCATTTTAATCTTTAAAATAAGCAACTGACGAATATACGATACGTGAAGTCGGGCTAGTAAGCCAACAAAATACTAACAAGAATAGTGGTAATAATAAATTTCCGTTCGCCGATTATGTATAGAAAAGAGTTTGCTAGTAGACTTCGGGCCGAATTGTTCAGCACTGTGGAAACTACAAATTAGAAAATTTTAAACAATATCCAAGGTATTACATAAAAAACTAAAAGGAAAATCAATCACCTAAATGAAAATCAATGATACCAAAGTTAAGAGTATTCAACTGCCAATCGAGTAAAAATTGGACTATTGGAATTTATAAATTTTATATGCTGGCAAACATGTTACACAGAATACACTTCACAAACTTCGACCAATAGTAGTGTCTTCTCTCACTAGCAAACCATTAAGTCCTAAATTGTTAACGAACGCAATTTACAGAAAGAATAATAATATATTAACAAAAATATAATATTAACACAAATGTTAATAAAAATATCAATAAAAAATATTAGTAAAAAATAAAAAAATATTAATAAAATCAATATGGATTCAGGGCAGATCAAGCTATGGACTATGCAGTGGCAATAGTTAGAGGTTTCTTTAATCAAACAACGAAAAACTTTAAAAAAAACACTGCTGTGACCTTTATATCAGAGGAAGGTATTCAATAGTGTTGACAAAAAGCGTCTAGTCAGCAAACTTTCTTAGGCCTGCATATCACGGTTACAAAACGTATAGACTCATAGTTAATGGAGAACAAGCGGTAAAACGTGCACAGAAGATCAGCTCCTGTTTAGAGCTTGTCTCATTTGTACTCACACAAAATCCCATTGGATTCGGTTATAGGACCCATTCTATAGCACTTACATAAACGCCCTTTATGAATTTTGTTTCGGCACAAAGTTGTGTAAATCGCCCATGACGCCTGCATCCTCATTAAAAGTAATATCAAAGACAAAGTGAGTCAACATTACTGGCCAATTAACAAAAATTAAGCATCAACAAAAGTCAGATACTTAAATTTAATTTAGAAAGGCCAGAAGGATTTAAGTGTGCAATGATACAAACGCAGACTAGCCTAGGCATCGAACAATAATTAGGTAAATTGTTTTAAATAAAATAAATCATACGCGATACTACTCGATTTCATCATCCACTTACCAACGAATCAATGATTGTGACTGCTGTGAAAAAAAACCTATGTATACTTGAAAATAAGATGCGCTATCCGTTTAGGTTGACAAGATATTTTGCATTTAGCTCTTGCTTTAAGAGTTTGAACAATATCTTCCCAGTGCTGCTTATATGTTGCAATTATTTCGTCTACTGTTGCTTAAAAGCATTTTGCTATCTCTACCTAACATAAAGCTAAAATTATTTTTATTGTACGTTCATCAAACTTTAATTGTAATGGGACTTACACGTACAGAGTATATAAAGAAAATTGCACATTGTCATATAAATTAAGGAACACTTCGTCAATATATAATACAATATCACCTTTTACATAGTATACTCCCATTAGGAACCCATAGTAAGAGGAATACATAAGTTTTCATCATTTTCTAACATGGACTAACACTATTTAGTATCCTAGAACTTTTTCGAAGAATAGTTTTCACATGTACACGACGGTCATTTGCAAAAAAATAGAAAAACGGATTGAGTCTCAAGAACGTGACACAGTTCATTTCAAGACAACCAGGAAGTATAATTACCACTTAATTTAGTAAGTGTAAGCAGTAGGTATAAGCAGTAAGAACTTACCAGCTTATAGCCTTGGCGGTATTTTTCGTGCTTTATGTTGGATACTTTTATCTTTAATATTGATGGCTCTCAGCAAACAGCAAAGTGTGATCATTCCTGGATTCGTCAACCGAACCTAGGCCATCACGAGTTTTTAAATTGTCTAGGTAGATACGTTACCTGCTATGCTATAATGAGAATGTGCTGAGGACAAGTAAACATCAAACGAGTGTATCCCAAACGCCGCATTCAACAAAGCATTCTTCGAACAGTACAAGCACTCACACTTAAACAACATTTCATCACAACGACGTGATCAAGCCAGTATGTATACATACGAAACTCGGCCTAATTAGCTGTCTCTTGCAAAATAATTCAGCACCCGCAAAGCTCTATATGCTCAGAAACCTAATAAATGGAAATAATATATATTTATATACATATTCTACTTCTCTGGCTGTTCTTTAATGTAACGTTGGATTGCTTATTGCTGGATAGTTTAGTAGATTTCATTATATTTACACTTGTTGTATATCTTACATAGTTATTTTTCTAATTTAAATTGCAGTGTTAAATGTTTATTGACAATCAATAAGGTTAAGATTATTTGTTCAGACCCATAACATGTGGTACCCACATGTTATGGGTCTGATTTTGCAATTAATGATCTAAATTAAACCGGTACAAATATCTTCCTTACAGGCTTTTCAAATTTTCCGGAAAATATGTTTAAGTGAGATATTTAATGTACGGAGCATTCTATTAGCATATTACCCCATGTCTACGTGCGTAGCATGAAATAAGTGTACTTCTTTAGATAGACAACACAAAGAAAATCACTATGATGTGATTCACTAGAATAACTAATAAGCTTGTAAATACGAAAAAAATAAGAATATCGATAGAAGAATGAGAAGTGCTAGGAAATCGAGGAAGTCGATTACTAACCACTTGTGTATTCGATATATCCTATATTTCCTAACTTAGTGCTCATATTAAGTTTAACAACATATGCCTTTATCGAAATCCTTGGCAGTAATAAACAGAAGCTTTACTTTTCACTGTTTTACCATTAATTGAAATCAAACATAATTGTATATTACACTGTTTCTTCACAGTAGTACCAGGAGTAGCTATGTGTACTGCTTAACGCCGACCTCGACAAGTTCACGGCGACGCTAAGATGGCGGCGTAGTCTAAGCCGCACGATGGCGAAATTACAAACAGTTGTATTTTGCATTCTTTTTGAATTATTTTGGCACTTAATCAAAGCAGTGCCACCTCATGTTGTGCTATTTCGTTCACCGGAAAGCCTTGAGGAAAACTAAAGGCTAGTTGTGACATGTGCCATTGCTAAAGGCAGCCTTCCCATGACGATCTCCTGGAGAAGAGACAGATTTCCTTGAACACAGAACGAACTTATGAAAATAAGGCATACTGATTACTGTCAAGAAACTTTGCAGATATCAAAATTGGGTAGTAGCCATGTTGGGAATTACACGTGTTGGGCAAAGAACGCATTTGGATCAGATCAGATATCGGTCTCAGTTGTACTTAATTTAAAACTCGGGTGGAAAGTGACAGAAGAACAAAGTACAGTCCTCAACGTAGTAATAGGACAACGCATAGAACTTCATTGCTCGTATTTCGTGGTAAGTTTTTGTGCAAGTTGACCTACTTACACAAAAAAATGTTATCAAAACTATTTTCATTGCAATCAGACTCAAAATAAATGAGTTTCATTTTCGCTCCTTTTGATGGCGGTATAGAGATCTATGCAACCGTCTTCCAACGCTCGCTTGTTTTTCCGACGAACGTTAACTCAGATATATTCGATTAATAGCTTAGGAATAGTGTGTATACCTTATTGGAATACTAATTATACGAATGCGAATTTATTGCATATTGATGTGGAAACAGGCAACAAAGATATTACTTCGTCTGCGAAACTCGAAATTCGACCAAATCGCAGTGTCCAGATCGCATCAGTGTTAGCGGAAGATAATGGAGACGTTACGTGTGGAGCCCGCAATTCTACAGGAACAATCCGCAAAACGTTTAATTTCGCCTTGACTGGTTTGTAAAATCCCATAATCGCATACCATGGTTATATCAAAATGTCACTGGTAGGGAAAAAATAATTATTCAGCGTTCTTTTGAATTGAACAGAACATAGGTTCAGTTTGCACAGGACACATCGACGTTAAAAAACGCTCGTACTTTATTAACATTCTTCAACAATGTTCGTGCATATTAGATATCGCGGTTTTCTAGGTAAACTGTTAATTTGTTTTTTTCTTTTGAAAAACCTATGTCATTTGTACGCTATAGTTCAAAAGCAATTAAGCTTGAGGGATGCTGAAGTAACTTGACGCATCTTTTATATTTTGTGACTTGCTGCTAAATTAGCCTTTAGGAGCATACTCGCGAGAACTTCCTTATTCGTTTAGACAGCCGCTCTTTCTCAAATTATTAACGTTTTGCATGTACAGTGATTGATAAATCGTCGATTAAGGTAAACGCTTTTGAGTAGTGACCAATGGTATTTCCTATTTTTCGTACATCAAAAAACATCGTCTTTTACAGGTCTGCAGAGGCTATGTCTTATACAAAAACCAATTAAACTAATGCTTAAAGTAATTTTTTTCTGTACAGCAAGATATTTTCATCACATAAAAGTACGCGGTAGGCCTACGGTCTTTGCTGGGTCCCGTCAGGGGGAGCTACAAGTATTGTCTAATATCAAAGAGTCCAAGCTCAAGGCGGGATTCAAGATGGCGAACCATTCAAAGCCAGCCATGATGACGGTCGGAGCACACCTGAGTATCTTCGTTCTAATATTAAAAGTCCAAGTTTTATGCGCGATTCCACCACAGATCGTCCCATTTAAACTACCTGATGATCTGGAAGAGGGTCAGCGATTAATAATAACCTGCGCCATTAGAAAAGGAACCCCTCCATTTGTCTTTTTCTGGCAGAAAAATGGACGTCCTCTAGCAGAAACTAACGGAACCCGAATTGTCCATAACGACGACTATCAAGAGACACTTAAAATTCAAACACTTGGCGGCGACGACGTTGCTAATTATACGTGTGCAGTAGAAAACGCGTTCGGCTCCGATCAGATATCGGTAGCTGTGCTGCTTAAATTTAAACCTCGGTGGAATGTACCCGGCAAAGAGAACAGTGTCATCACCGGCGTAGCCGGTGACAGCATTATGTTTGATTGTTCAGCTATAGGATATCCAACTCCCGCTATACGAATATTCAAGGGTAAGTAAATTTTCTCATAGAAGTACTAATAATGACAGAACTAACCCATTTTCGTAATATATTTGCAAAATACGTCCAATTAAAGTAAGTTCTAATTGATTTAAGGAGCTGGATCTAACCGGTCCTTTAACTTTCTAATATCGTTTGCATTCACTTTATGAAGCAAATAATGTAAAATTTTATGTAAGACCGTAAAGGTACGTGGCACGTCCTTACTAAAACTTATGAAGCTAGCTAAAGAAGTATAGCAAATGAAATTTATTATATTCCTATTTCAGGCAATCTGGATCTCACCAAGTCGAAAAGAATTGAGATTCTTCCATCCGGTTTAATCCGACTGAATTCGTTCTCGTCTAAAGACGGAGGCAACCTGTTTTGTGAAGCCGAAAACTCCATTGGTGTTATTCGAAAATCAGCAATTTTAGTCTTTACCGGTGCGTCCAATATTAGTCATAAAAAAAATTTTGTAGCTTTCAATGATTTATTCAGCACTCCGGCGACTTAACTTAATCGTCGAAATTATACACCTTTGACATCGGTAGCCTACCTGGCGCCATTTATTTGAACGGGAAGTGCAACTATATCGTATTTTATACCTTTTTTAGGTAGACAAAGCATTTCTAACCATCCAGATTATTAGCAAGGATGAAAAAATTGACATTACTACAAACCACAAAAAAATGCTGGTGGAATTACAACGTCTGTATTTTCATAATGAATCATCAAAACAAGTAGACATTAAAACTACTAGGTTCTTTGTGGAATTGCAATGGCGGGATCAGATTAGAGCTTTAGCGATCATCATAGTTTTAAGATGGCTATCCAGTTTGCTAATTTTCACACCAGTCTTTTTCAAATATGTTAAAGCATGTCCACAGCAAATCGCTTCTCTTCGATATCGGAGAACCTTGGAGATCATCAGAGACTTGTCATTTAGGAATCCTTTCCGTTGTTTTCATTTGGAGGAAAAAGGACATTCCACTAGTACAAAATGATATTAAAATAGTGCATACTTACGCTTATTAAGAGTACATGCAAATAGGAAACCTTCTAGGACAACATATTGGTAATTACACATGATCAGCTAAAACACTTTCGGATCAAATGTCGTTCCAAGCCATGGCCAAATTCAAACCGGAGTGAAACTTTCGCGCTAATCCGAAACATGTAATTACTGGTGTCACCGGAACTTTCGTGTAGCTAAATTGCGTTGCTGCATGACATTCAACTTTTGTTTAAGTGACAAAAGGTAAGTCTTCTATAGTGCATATATGCATGGTTCACGATCAATCCTTATCGCTTAATCAAAGGCAATAGGCTTGATAAAATCAACTAAAGTACAATTTGATTAAGATGATATTATTTTGCTTATAGGCCCTTTCAATATACGTGGCTAAAGGGTTCCTAAAAGGTCATATGAAAGCTAATTATTCATTGTAGTGATACATGTCGTTATAATACCATACGGTACACATTAGAACGCCGTTAGGAATCTTGTATTATTGGAATACCTCTCCTTTGGCTTTAACAAATACAGTGATTTGTCATAACCTCTTCCAAAGAGCCCTTGCTTAGGTCCTACAAATTTAAAGTTATTCCGATCTTTGAATACGGCTAATTAGCGTAACGGCTCAAATACTTCGTTGTAGCCATAGCCTTTATATAAAGTTTTGTTAAGGGGTTCGTCCCAAACAGATTCGTCATAGCAGCAATTAAAAAATCAAGTGTATACGTGGAGCTGATTTATCCTCATACTTATAAGATTTTACAAGATATATATGTTAAAACGAAAAATTTGTTTTTTAGGCAACGTCTCATTTACGTGGAGTCTCGATATAAATTCACTCCAGTAAACGTTGTTTATATTGCCTCGCTGTCAATGGAAGATAAGGAAAAATTCACATGCGGAGCTTACCATTATTTTGGAGCCATTCGTAAAACACTAACTCTTCTCGTGGTCGATAGGCGATTACTCAAGTAAACATTTTCTGAGCTTTCGCTCAAAATGACACAGAAAGTCAACTTGCTGTACTCTACGGTATAGTAAGTTAAGAATATAATAACATTTGTGGCTTTGCTGAGTCGTGAACCCTTTTATCGAAACACATTTTTAAAATCCCTTTGAAAAACACATTTTTTCAAAGCAGCAATGCCTGCCCACTTACGGACTACTCTGAGACCTAATAGTGCGTTTCACTGAATGTACCACAATACTAATAAAAGTCTTAAAGCGTAAAAAGAAACCTTAATATGAAAGTTACGTAAAAAATAGAAACAGAAATTATATATTACTCTTTTCGCACGTCTATCAAAATCGCTTCTCGGTACCACTAGGGGGCGCCACATGTACTATGTAATTATCGACTCCGAAGCAGGAGGCGGGTACAAAATGGCGGCCGTTTAACACATCGAGAAGCCGTGCTAGATGCCAAGATGAACCCGATAGTTTTATTGTATGTGGTTTTGTTATTCGATCATATTTATTGTGTTCCACCCCATATTGTTCCTATTCGACTACCAGAAAATCTTGAAAAAGATCAACGATTAGCAGTGACATGCACGGTCGCCAAAGGAAGTCTTCCTATAGCGTTTACTTGGAGAAAGGATGATGAATTTCTTAACCAAAATGATGATTTAAAGCTTGTCCACAACGATGATTATCAAGAGACACTGCAGATTTCTAAACTAGATGGCATTCATGTCGGAAACTATACTTGTGCAGTGAAGAATGCTTTTGGCTCTGATCAGATGGCTGTCGCCGTAGTTCTCAAATTCAAGCCGCAATGGAAAACTAGCCCCACTGAAGCAGGCCATATTGTTGCAGCAGTAATTGGGACAAATATTGAGCTAGACTGCATCACCACAGGTCATCCAACACCAACAATTAGGGTGTTTTCAGGTAAACAGGACATCAGAGCAATGTCTTTAATTAAGTCTTCTTGACCTGCTGACCTTCTTGACCGAAATCTGTCACATTGAAGAATCCACTTTTGAAGGGTTATTCACTTTTGTAAACTTACTTCTTTACTATTTTTTGGTCTAATTGTAATGTGCGCCTTTCTAAGCCTAAAAATGACAACTATCATTAGAAATATTTAGCGAATCGACCAGCCTATTTTTATAAGACATCAAGTAGGTGTTGGTTAGCAGTATTAACAAGTAATTCTCTTATATTAAATGTCGTTTAGCTATTTGCTCATCAAAGCGTTTGAATATTTACCCGCTATTTATTGTGTTAAAAGAAAATGAAATACACTACTGCTTTATATACGTTTCACTGTCGTGCATAGTTAAGATATAGATATATAGTTTTATTATAAACAAAAATACGTCAATAAATAACTTAGGTCTATTACGGCCCCGTAAATAATATAAAACAACAATTCTCTACAGACCGTGAGGAAATTACCCAGTTATCGAGGGTAAACATCACTCGAAACGGCTTAATTCGCATCTCATCGTTAGCCCTACAGGATAAGGGCAAAATCACCTGTGAAGCGCAAAATGCTCTTGGAGCCATTCGGAAGTCTTTCCAAATCGCACTTACTGGTAACTTAGTACGATGTGTTATCCAATATATACATTAGTACAGACTTAACCTTGAACCCCTGACATGATAACTTAGGCCGTATCATTATTCCCTAAATTATCTTTCCTCTCAGTAATATTTTAACGGACTGAGCCGTTTTGACACGCACGAGCGCTAGCAAAACTACTAACCAACAAAAAAGATGGTCGGTTCAAGACGTTACTTTAATCATAACGATTTGAATACCGCCGCACTATTCTATAATTTTATTTCTTTTTAAAGATGTATAGAGCTAAGAGGTTGCCGCCAAAAATTCAAGTTGCCGTCTCATTTAACGATTATAAACACGGCCATAAACGAACGAAGAAAATAAAATAATTACTTGCCTACGTTAATACTGATACTTGTTTTATTTGACCTTTGCAAATATTTAAAAAAGCGGAGCAAAAGCTTGCCATTAACGTGTTTATAAACTGACCTTCTCAATGAAGTTTTTGGGTGAGTTCCACCAGGAGGCGCCACCTGTGACGACTCTCATCTTACGGTGCGCTTCTCCCAACTTACAGCGGGTACCAAGACCCGCTTGCTTAACTGCATGTACATTAACTCATGATGAGGAACTTACACATCTGTATATTTAGCTGGTTTCTCTGTACCGTATCCATAAATGCTCTGCAACCCCCCCAAGTTACACCAGCACGGGTTCCGGAAATAATGGAAGAAGGACAACGACTCGCGATTATGTGTGCAATTTTTAGTGGAAGTCCTCCAATATCCTTCTCATGGCGAAAGGATAATGTGCAGCTCGTATCCAATGGCGAGATAAAAATAAATCATATTGACGATTACCAAGAAACGCTGGTAATTCCACGACTTACCCCTCTTCACGTAGGGAACTACACATGCAGTGCAAAAAATGCTTTTGGATCAGATCAGACTTCGGTGTCTGTAGTGCTTAAATACAGACCTCGTTGGATAACAGAGAGCTCTGGTAGAATTTCAGCGGCAATCGGTGAGGACGTTACTATAGATTGTAAGGCTCTTGGGCATCCATTACCAACGGTCCGTATCGTTAAAGGTAAGTAAACAACTTGTCGTATCTTGGTGTTTATGTTTAATTTTATGTAAATTCATAACACGCAACCATTAGAAAGTCAATTAAATTAGAAATCTAAAAAATATAAAATTAAAATAAAAGAAATCGGCACGAAAATGACCACATCCTTTTAATATTGTGTCCCATAAATCTAAAGAAACAGTTTTATTTTAGACTACCATCAAATATACGTAAACGTTTTGACTACATTTTACATCTTGTAAGAAGCAGTGAACAGAGTATAGCATATTGAAGTATCAAATCTTAAACAAGGCCTGGCATTTTTCCCTCCAAACAGCGCCACACCAATGTAGTGTAATTTCAATTTATGCGCAATCTATAAATTACGTTTTGTCTCGTAAAAAATTACTACGGTTCTTATTATATATTTGCACCTATGAAAACGCTAGGACATGGCCAATCAATTATCAACATAAAACTGAAATAGGTTGTATTAGAAGGAAGTACAATACAAACATACGACATCACCAGCATTCGTACTATTGGGTTATAAATTTTTTCTTTTTTTTTTAATATTTTTTTCAAGCCGATTCAGATCCTATATTTATATAAATACGCTTACAACTGACAAATGTTTTTTATTATTCTGTTATTATCGATTCCAGCTAGGATGATTCTCAAGTAACAGTTTTTTTAAGAAACAGTTTTGCGTTGATATAATTATTTGATGTAGCCGCAAATTTAGAGCTATGGCACAAAAAGCTACTTCTGGTTGATACTGTCGTGACGACGACTTCTGTTTCGTAAAGTGTTCTGACAACAAGAGAACACCTAAAGGAACATTAATCTTTAAGTATTTTTCTAATCTAATAAAAGTGTCAACAATAAAGACACGAGCTTATAGACCATGTTGCAGATAACTTTTATCGAGTGTTGCGAAGCTAAAAAGATGCTATTTAATTATATTAATACGCCGATATTCGGCAGGTGACTCTGAGGTGAAAACTACACCAAGGCTGCTTGTGGATGCCGGACTGATTCGAATCAAGGAGGTTCAACAGCTAGATGCAGGGGAATTTTTCTGTGAAGCATCGAACTCAATCGGAAAGGTTTCTAAAATGGTTCAGCTTGTATTAACAGGTAATACTTTTGCGTAGGTTTCTCGTGCAATCAAACGCGATGATTTATTGTTAAAACGTTACGTCTTATTGCCAATTTCATATAACCCTTCCATATCTTACACTTTCTATTATCTGTAACAGTTGCTTGGCGTTTTAGGAAATGGCGGCATCGTTTTAAATTAGGTAAAAGAAGGGGTTCAGAAGAAAGAAAGAAGAGCGAAAGAAGAAGTTCGTTCTCTTACCGTGTACCCAATTGAAACGCATGCTCGAATTTTTCTTTATTCAAGAATGTTTTCAAGAGTTCTTTAGAATACCATTACTTATTAGAGCTGTGGAAAAGGTATGAGTTTGGCGCAAAGTCAGTTTTGTCCCGCTAGGGGTCGCTACGGTTACTATACTCAAGATTTTTGGAGCCCTGCGCGACTTTCAAAATGGCGGCACTCAAGAGTCACCGGTCATTGCTTAAAATGATCTTCCTCACTCTAGTCTTTTTTGCAGTCGTGAAAGCTAATGGTAAGTATTTTTTGCTTTGTTGGATAGAGAAATGAAAACATTGTATATCATGTGCAAGTAAATCAACAGCAAATCTCCTACAACGATATTCATATAATTTAAATCATTATGTTCTACTACATATATATGATTTATATATGATTTACGTTTTATACCCCTGTTACTGGTTGTCTGTTTTCTTTCTAAAAAAAGTGTCACTTAATTCTATCTAAACAACTGACCAACTAATTTTTAGGTCCCCCTGAAATTATCCCATTTCGTGTACCCAACGGTTTGACCGAAGGTAAACGCCTCACTCTAATGTGTTCAGTAAGCGCTGGAACTCCACCGATATCCTATTCCTGGCTTAAAGATAGTTCCGCTGTTGGAACCCTGCCTAATGTTCGAATTGTACATACTGACGAGTACCAAGATAATCTGCAAATCGAAAAACTCGGTGCTGAGCACGTTGGAAACTACACATGCAATGCGAAAAATCTCTATGGATCTGACCAAATGACCGTACAAATTATGATAAAAGTTTCTCCTCGATGGACTGTAAATAATAATATCAAGGATGTAAGAAGCGTGGCAGGCAATAATTTCTCTATAGACTGCAGGGTTACGGCTCACCCGGCAGCAGTAGTCACATTTTATAAAGGTAAGCGCTGCAGTCCGATCTTACTTAAGGCAAAGAATTTACAATTGTAAGGTTCAGCATTTTGAATTACGCTAGAATTATTAGTTACCTTAATTCGGACGTAGTGTTTGTTGTACATAATTATTTGGTGAATAGAATGATTGTATTATATTTGAAATGATGGTTAGATATATTTTCAGTGAACCACTGAGGTAAGTTGAGAGCAATTATAGTTTTCTCAGCTCCGCTTACTTGCAGTGCCATTGAATTTTTTTTTACAAAGCAAGTATATTTAACAGCTTGACGGTACTTTGCAGCAGCTTATTAATGAAATACGAAGTTTTAACTTGAGTTTAATCTATAAATTAAATTATTTTTTGCTGAGATCTAAATTGTTTTAAAGTGTAGTTTGTGTCCGGTTATGAGCATTGTAGAGGGGTAATTACTGAGTTTCAATTGAGCCAAATAGTATCGCAGCATATTGCTTTGCAGGAAATATGAAGCTGATACCGACTAATCGTGTTCATATTGACGATGGCTACCTGACGATACCAATGGTTATTCCGGAAGATCAGGGGGACATTACTTGCGAAGCTTCCAATGAACTAGGAAAAATATCAAGAACTGTGTCACTTCACCTTAGTGGTAACAGCATTTAGGTCGTCATTTGCTTTAGCGCCATTTATTTAAACTAGGCGAATTGAAATTTCGGCTTAAAATTAAGCTAATGAAGTTGACTTTCCTGCTGCAGTTAAACGGTAACATACTTTACGTAAGAATGTGATATTTAAAAACCTTAATTCTCACAAAATATTTGCCGCTTTAAGGCGTTTAATGCACATGATGTTTTTCAACTAGCTTTCAAATGGTCACAGAAGGAGGAGCCACCAGTCTCGCAACCTTTTTTATTCTGGCTCACATTTACTCTAGTACAAAGGCGTCCAATTAAATATCATAATGGAGATTACTATGCTGCCTATACGTTATGGATGTGTGTATTTATCTCGAATATAAACAGACAAAATAGGTACAATATTATAACTTGATAATATATCAAGCATTTATGGCTAATAATATGAACCCAAAACAACAAATGTGCAGTCAATAAGTTTTGATATATTTGTTCGTTTATGTGCTATGAAAAAAACTACTTCAAACCTAAACTTCAGCTATACCTGAAATTTCCCCTGTAAAAATTAGCCGGTGATCTCACAGAGGGCAAGCGTTTATCGGTCATATGTTCTGTAAGTTCTGGAGCACCACCAATATCCTTCTCCTAACTAATAATAGAACGCCGATTGATCATTTTGCGTGAAAATCATACATTTTGATGATTTTCAAGATGTGCTTCAAATAGAGAAGCTTAGCTCAGATCACGTTGACAACTATACTTGTGTCGCTAAAAACACGTACGGTCCCGACCGTATGTTAGTGTCAGTAATTCTAAAGGTTGCATCCCGGTGGACCTCGGGTGCAACAAACATCCCTATGAAGATTATCGCGATATCGGGAGAAACCGTTAGTTCGGGCTGTCGCGCCCATTGTGGCCTTTTTGAAAGGTAAGCTTTTTAGCTTGCTTAATCTAGTCCTATACGTATATTTGGTTCATTTACACAGCTAAGCTGTCCAATTCGCTATTCGCTTTTAACATCGAAATATTTTAATTAGATTTTTACGGCAGTTTACGCTCATTATTGCTTAATTTTTTTTATTACCTTTTTGGTAGCAACTCAAACAGTAAAAAAAAGTACGGATACATACACTCGCATAGGTCTTTTAAGTCGCTAATAAAAGTTGGGATTAACTAAGCTATATGGATTATTATTACGTTTTACTTATTGTAACTGTAACTAGCAGTAACTGTCACGTAGTCGGGCACATAATAACTGTACCTATTAATCCTTTGCACACCTATCTGATGTAACATTTAGCAGATATTATGTTCTTCATTCTTCATTCCAGGTGAAATTGAATTGGTAGCGAATACTCGAATTCGCTTTGCATCTTGAGTTTTAATAGTCAACGAGGTTTCACCTCTTGATAAGGACGATTACGCTTGCGAAGCTCATAACACTCTTGGGAAAATATCCAGAACAATCAACATCATACTCAGCAATAACAACGCCAGACAAACGCTGTTTGGTTACTACAACATGACTCTACAGTTCCAAAAGTAATCAAAAACCGCTCCGTTTTCATAAATGCTGACTGAGCAAAAATCCCTCACTTCCACGTGTACGCGCGCTATTTTTTCGGAGCAGACAGTTTAAGGTTGCAATACATTTACTAATAAAGCCAAAATTTTTTCTTGCATATGTAGAAAACTTTTTTGAATGTGTATCTTACTACATTCATTCAGTCCGTAAATGATATTAGTCAATGAAAAATCATTAATTGGAAGATGGCTTTATCTAGAACACTTTTCTGCCGGTCCCACCAGACGGCGCTACCTGTATCAAGCTACTGATTGCGGGTTTGACTCCATGTTGATTTTGTACAGCCTCAACTAAGTGTTTCTGTCTCGCTTTATATCCCTGAGCTCAGTGTTTTGTAGCAATGAATGCGGTCGTGGTCATTTGTGGTATTCTATTGGCCCCGACTACTACTGCGCAAGGTAAACTATAAGTCATAAAATATTAACCACATTAATAAATTTATATATGGAGTTAAATTTATATTTACGTGCGTATAGAAAAGCAAGCATATTAATACGTAAGTCAAAAGAGAGCTAATAAAATTAACAGTGTCTGTCTCCCTTTGCACAATTAATAGGTCACTGCTTTTATTTGTTATTTAATAGATCAGAAACTAACAAAAATGTATTTTCAGCTCCGCCGGAGATCACTCCCTTCAAGTTACCCCCGGATTTAGTTGAGGGGCGCCGTTTATCACTGTTCTGTTCACTTACTATTGGTACCCCTCCAATATCCTTCTCATGGGCAAAGGATGGCTATGCTGTGGGCTCGTTACCTGGTATAAAGGTCTTCCACGTCGATGAGTATCAAAATGTGTTGCAAATCGAAAATGTGTCTGTGGATCATGTTGGCAACTACACCTGTTCTGCTAAAAATGCTTTCGGCACAGATCAAATGTCAGTTCGATTGGCTTTGAAATTCAAGCCTCGTTGGACTATGTCTAACATTGAGCAGGATAAAAAAATTCTTACTGCAGTGGCAGGTCAAAGTCTTGCTGTAGACTGCAGTGCCGTGAGTTACCCGGCACCAACAATAAAAATACTCAAAGGTAAGTGCCGCGACAACTTGCACCCAAAGGGGTGTCTTTAATATGGTTACAAATATGTGGCCAACTTAATTCAAGCTTTCTTGTAGAATTTTTTTTTGGTAAGAAAGGTAATATTTTTGAGATACATTTAGTTGAGAAGAGTGACTCCAATAGATATTAATGAGATACGGTATGCATTACGCGGCCTATTTTACTTTCTTGGATTAGATTCCATTGTGATGCATTACGAAATGCTTTTTCAGAAACCTTATTTCCACAGGATGCTGTATTTATTTGCATTATTTCTTTATAGCGTTGTTCTATCCAAGTCGGTAGTACTCTATTTAACGATATATAAAATACACAGTGTAGAAACCTCCACAAAGACTAATACAACGAATATTTTGATTTTCCGTTAATCGTTAGACAGTTTTTTTTAATAAAAACTATTTAGAAAGAGTATAATAACTGTTGTTTGTACTTACTGTTTCGACACTTTGACATTTTCTACAATAGTTCGAACAATTTTATCTAACAAAATATATCTATGCTCTGTCTGACGATAAATATATGATAAAATGTGCCTAGATTTTGACAAAACTGGCCGCTTGTATCAGAATTACGATAAAATAGACCTTGCCTCTATTTTAGGGAATCGTGAGCTAAATTCTGGCGGGCCACATCAATTACAGTTGGGTGTCATGACAATCAAGCGTGTAGAGCCCGCAGACAAAGGCGAATATACCTGTGTAGCAGAAAATGTTTTGGGAAAGATTCAGAAGACCTTGTTCATCGCACTTAGCGGTAAATAACTGATATCTCTAACACCAGTTCGTACCTAGTCCGCGAACCACTTTTAGCGCCAAGCGCCCTTTTTCAAAGCATACACATTTTACTAATTCCTTTAAAGAAGTCACTTTTGGTTGTGACTTATTTGCACTTCTCCCATAATATTTAAACATGACTGCTTTATACTTCTTGACCTCGACAATCGTTAGCCTAACTCGCCTATAAAAATATTAAGTCATATAGAAGTTGTCAATATGTCCCGCAAGACGGCGCCACCTGTACTGAGACAATAAGGGCAACCCGCCACAAGATGCTAACTGTTATGGCGTCCGTAGTAGGGAAAGAAATCCCGACATGGCGCTCCAATTTACGAAAAAGTGGTTGGTTTTCGGATTCATTGTTTGTGAATTTTCACCACTTTTCTCGCAGGGTAAGTATATCTCTATAGTAAACACCTATGTCGAACCATTATCGTCTTCTTAAGGCTAGAGTATCCAAACCATTTTTTTAAGAAGTAAATACTTCTACTAATAGACAAAATATGTCTATTCTGTATATGCATTCAAGTTACATGGAATATTTAGCATGAAATAATGACAAACATTGTTCATTTTTAGCGCCTCCCGATATCAATCCATATAAAATACCTGATGATCTGGCCGAAGGTAAACGGCTTTCGATCATGTGTTCTGTCAGCTCCGGCACGCCTCCGATTTCATTTTCGTGGTATAAAGATGGCAATCCTATTACCAATTTAACGGGTGTAAAAATCGCTCACATAGATGACTTTCAAGATCAACTACAAATCGAAAGTCTCTCTCGAGATCACGTAGGCAACTACACATGTAATGCGAAGAATATATACGGAGCGGCCCGTATAGCTGTGCAAGTGGTGATGAAGTTCGCACCAAAATGGCTGCTTGACCAACAGGATACTGCAACAGTCACTAGAATTGTAGGAGAAACCGTGGAGATTAATTGCCGCTCTAATGGCCATCCAACGCCGGATATAAAAATATATAAAGGTAAATAAACGCTTGTATCTGTGTTCGCAGGTATGCTACTGGCTTAATGCGAGTTAAAGTACTGGAAACGATGTTCTAAAGAAACATTTCAACAAAAAAGTAACGTCTGACTGAGCAACACATATCCTTACAAAAACAATATATTTCTAATATTTTCTTGCTGGCATTTTTTTTAATCTTCAGGAAGTCGTGAAATTCTGCTGGATGAACGTATCCAGCGGAATCTTGGTTTACTCGTCATTCGACGTGTAAGTGCCTCTGATCATGGGAAATATCACTGTGTAGCAGAAAATAATCTCGGAAAAATTCGCAAAACCGTCATCTTGACGCTTAGTGGTAATGTTCTCAGCAAACAATAGCTCTAAATTATCTATATGTAATTTAGCAAAATGTGTGATTTAAGTCACAATTAGTAAAATTGACATTAAACTAATCTGTGTTTGTATCTGGACGATGCTATCGTATTTGAGGGCTATCTCAGTGAATAAATTCATCAAAGCTTTGCTGGCCTATTGTTCAAAGCATACGACAAGTATGCGTTGAAATCAAGATTCAGTTACAAGGATTTCTACTCTTTGTATAGATGATTATTTATGCCGTGATAGAGTGCAATTATTTTGTTTGTCACAATAATGTAACGTTTAAAAAAAAGTGCAACAAGACCAGGAAATCGGCGGGGCCCGTATTTTTAAAATGTCCCACAACGGAGAGTTACTTGTACAGCAGTTGGTGTGCGGAAAAACCAGTCTTTTAAATAACGTGAAGTTAGAAAAAGCTTGAATTGATGAAGTACCAACATAAAGCAATGGAGTCGATGTCGACGATATCACAATTCATCACTGTTTTTTGATCTCTCCTCTGCTACGGAAGTTCTCACAGTGAGTACCTGTAGCCCGTAGATTAGGAAATATATTATATTATAGTGTAATAGTATAGTAAAACTATAGTTTTCATTTCTTGCTTTCAAATTACTGGGTACATGCGCCAAAACGTCATGCAAATACGAGCATTTTCATAGCTCCGCCAGAAATAACCAACACAAATAAAATAGTAATGGTAAAATGCCTGATGGTCTATCTCAAAGTCAGAGGTTATCAATGTCCTGTTAAGCAAGGTCAGGTGCACCTCTTGTATCGTTCACCTGGTTGAAGGACGGAACCGCAATAGAAAATGTGACCAGAGCTAGAGTTGTTCCCTTAAACAACTCTCAATATCCACTGCAGATTGAAAGTCTATCCGGTGATCATGTGTGCAACTCTACCTAAATTCAATTCTAAATTCAAAAAAAGCTGTGCGAATCATTTAACGGTTCCCTTCAAAATAAATTTTGGCTGCAAGCAAGAAGCAACAGGAATGGCTGGATATTTTGTTCTGATAGACTGTCGGGCAAATGGGCATCCGTTTACATTTTTCAAAATGAAAAAAATATTTATTCCTAAACGGGGTTCAACTATCAAACGAGTATTAACCTATTCAATGAAAAGGTGTTATATAACATGGAAATAATAATTCGCCTATCTCAGGTATTTTTTTTGCAACGGTAGTTTCTTAAAGGCTTTATTTTGTTCTAACCTGTAAACAGCATCTGGTTGTGGTAGGCATTTTTTGCTGTAAAACATGCATTATACGTGCTACTATGGTTCTACGAGTTGTAACCATTCATAGCTTTTTAGGCCACTATTTTACTTTAACTCTCATAAAAAAAAACTGAGCAGAGATAACGGTAAAAAAAACAGCGATTTTGTGCTGTAAAAATTCTAATCCATAACACTAATGGTATGAAATTATAATTTTTGAAGGTACAAATGCCGACAGGCGTATAATGTTTTTAGGAAACCGCCGAAAAATCTTCAAAGAGTAACAACAGCTGGATTCAAGTTCTTTAGCAATCTCAAAGATGCAGGCAGACAACAAAGGCGACTGTGCTTGCGCTGCTGAGAATATGGCGGGAAAAATTTGTGAAATAGTTTCTGTCGTGCTTTGCTATAATAGCTGCATACCTCGTGACATAATTGTTTAGCATGCGTATTTAAGTTCAATTTTTTTACAATGTATGCATGGCAACGTACTATTGCAGTAGGTAAAAAGTTTAGTGAATTTCGCGCTATGTACATATATAAAAACTAGCCCGCCTAAAATTTAAAGCACACGGTCTTTGCTTCTAATTTAGATATGCATCACCCGAAAAATACCGGATACTGAAATAGAGAACTTCTTATCTTCAACCACACATATTGTTGAAGCAACGCATGTACATGGCGGCATTTCAATAAGTCGGCGAAATTTTCTCATAAAACATTTAAGCCATTCCAAAGTGTACCGCGAGGGGGAGCCACATGTATTTAATATGACATGGTGTCGTCGCCGGACTCCAAGTAAAATCAGAATAGCGTCAGCAACCATATAGAATTCACAACTATGAAATCAACGTTGCTTCGGAGCTTTTGGATATGTGGTAGACTCTTAACGTTTGTAAACTCACAAGGTGAGTTGTTTAGTTTCTACGGTTCCACTATCAATAAATTATAACTGTGCATGCATATACTCGTTAGCTGATTGAATTAACTGCAGATTAAATTTCTGTTTTCAGTACCACCAGAAATTACACAGCACCGTATATCTGACGACTTGGAAGAAGGCCAAAGGCTTTCCATAATATGTTCTGTAAAATCGGGAACGCCACCTATATCGTTCTCATGGATAAGGGATGGCGATTCAATTGGAAATCTACCTGGAATAAAAGTGATACATGTCGACGATTTTCAAGACCAGCTACAAATTGAACATTTATCTATCGACCATGTTGGTAATTACACGTGTCACGCTAAAAATATCTACGGGACAGACCATATGGCGATTGCGGTAGTAATGTCCTTTGCACCCAGATGGATCTCTGGAAGAATTGCTAATGAACAAACACTACCTTTAACGGGAGTGGCCGGAGGGGTCATTCAAATAGATTGTCGTGCAAATGCCTATCCGTCTCCTCATATCAAAGTCATGAAAGGTTTGTGGTCCTATTATTAATTTTTTTTTTGAAAAATAATACGGTAACTGAATGATTTTTTTACCGCCTTCTTATAATATACTTTCTTCAAAACTTTTTGTAAGTATTATAAAATAGCCTTCATTTTTTATCGTACAAACGGGTATAAAGCAACTTTGCCTATTTATAATTTAGCATGTATATATATATATAGCATATATATAGCGCATGGATAGTCGCGATTTTTGGATCGAGAAAGTAAAAGTAAAGTCGTAGCTTGTGTATAAGAGACACTTGATTTATTATAGATAACAAATAGTTTTATTATAAAGCACAAATGGCCCTTCCCTCGAATTAAGAATTTCAGCTATTTACTTTTTCGATGATTGCCCGATTAGAAATAAATGTTTAAGAGCGTTAAATTGTAGTCTCTTTGTGTAATTTAATTTGAAATTGATTTACATTAAGAAATTAGACTAAAAATACATTCATTTTTTAGGGGATCGTCAGGTTCTTTCCGGGGGTCGATTTCGTCTCGATTCTGGGACGTTAACGATTCGTAACATCGACGCCACTGATAAAGGCGAATATACTTGCTTTGCCGAAAATACAGTGGGGAAGATTCACCGAACATTCTCCGTTGTGCTCAGTGGTAAAACCAAATTTATTCATGTGGCAGATAGAAAATATATTGTTTTTCACTTGGTTAGTTTGGTCACGATAGAAATATAGCGAACTTTATTTAATTGATAAACCAGAATCGTGGTTTTGTACCCGCCTAACATTTAAAGCATACGACGGACAAAACCACATATTGAATTATTTTTCTTTTCAACTCTTTATATTAGTGAATATTAAATAGACAAATACGATTTTTCTTTGATTTAAAAGCCGTGTTTATAGAAGGAGATTGTAAAGACGTTGTTGAATTCAAGTTACTATGGCAAAATCGTTCCAAAATGTCCCGCGGGAGGGAGCTACAAGTACCAAATACAACATGGTGACCATTGCGACGCTCTGACTAAAGCTAGAACAACGTTGTCACTTGGTGAAGCTTGACACTATGGAATTTACGCTGCTAAAAAGTTTCTGGATTTTATGTAACGTTTTCCAACTTGTAGAACCTCAAGGTAAGCTAATATCAGCATTAATCTTAACCACGTGCACACTATGCTCATAAAAAGTATATAGAAAGCAAATGAAAATGTCGATGTTTACTGCCTGATATCTACCTCGCACTTAATGTATTTTTTTAGCTACACCGGAAATTACACCGCAGAAAATTCCAGATGATCTGGCCGAGGGCCAGAGATTGTCTGTGATGTGCTCGGTGAGATCGGGTACCCCACCCATATCGTTTTCCTGGTTAAGAAACGGAATCGCTATCGGAAGTTTATCCGGAGTAAAAATAGTTCATTTCGACGATTTTCAAGACCAACTGCAAATCGAAAGTTTATCGGTGGAACATGTTGGCAATTACACATGCAACGCCAAAAATCTTTACGGGACTGATCATATGTCAGTTCAAGTGGTAATGAAATTTGCACCTAGGTGGGCGACTACAGACCATGCGAAACTCGTGACTGGTGTGGCGGGGGAAACTGTTCTCGTGGACTGTCGTGCCATTGGTCACCCATTACCTACAATCAGAGTGATTAAAGGTTAGAAATTAGTTTTCAAATAGGCTTAGGCTTACCGGTTGTGTGAAAGAAACTATTAACTTTACAAGTAAAAACACAGGTATACGGACTGTCTCAGTTTGCAGCAACCTATCCGTAAAATTTGAGTTCCTCTTTTCGCTGTATATCCTTGTATCAATGTAACGCAATAACAATGCATCAGGTGTTTTTCATGTTTCATTCGATTAAAAATATGCAACTTTGGAAAAGCATTTCTAATTCTAGTTTTAGCCCTTCGTACACTATAATCAGGTTATTTTCTCTTAGATATACGAGGCTGTCATAGTCAAACATAAATATATAAGCTTCTTTCATCGTTTATTTATACAAATAAGGGTTATATCTAGAGTTATTATGTTATATATTAAATGTTGTAAGCCTAAATACGTAATAAGCGTACTTTTTGCATACAAACAGGCCACCGCCTTAATGCTCAGCTTGAAAAAGATAACCCTAAGTTTTACTTTTTAAAAAGATCACATAAATAGCTGAAAGTTATTTTATGCAATTAGTGTCATTCTTCAAACAGCTATTATGAATCCAACATACGTACCCAGGTATGTATTGGATTTATGTAGCAGTAGTAATTAAATATTAAATATTTCTCTTTCAGGAAATCGCAATCTTCTTTCAGCTGGACGATACCGCCTAGAATCGGGAGTTCTAATAATATCTAGGGTAGAGGCCACCGACAAGGGCGAATATACTTGTTCTGCTGAAAATCCTATGGCGAAAATCCAGAAAACAGTATCGGTCATTTTAAGTGGTAAAAAAAATTTTCATCAAAATTACTGCGTAATTAATTACATGAATAGTAAAGTGTTAGGCTTCTGTTATATCCCTGATTAATATACCTTTAGTAAAAATCCATCACTCAGATACTACAATGTATTCACAGAAGCACCTATCGCGTACAGCATCCCCAGTGGTGTTTTCTATCCAAATTTTGAAGCATATTGTAGTTTTGTAGGTAGGTCTTTTCAAGTAATCACTAGTCACGGTAACAAAGTATGCTCCCATATATTTAGGCGCCAAAGTTTGGAAACAATTTTAGCAATTAGTATATCCAGAAAAATTTAATTTTAAAAAGTGACAGTTGTATCACTATTTCCCACGGGAGAGAGCCACAACGGTGTATGACAATAAATAACATGGAATTTGTCGGCTACGGTTTCGCTCATAGTCGTATTGAATAGGAATGATATTAGCATTTTACACATGTGTGATAACGAGGCCAGGGCTATTAAGAAGTCTCTAAGCTTCTAAATGCAGTGCTTTTCGATTTATGTATTCTCAAGGTGAGTTAACTTATGCCTTGTGCTGATATTATCATTATATGACATTCTGTAGTGATAATTAATCAAAATACCACATTATCTTTCTGCCATGATATAGTGGAATCGTTGACTATAATATATGTTCAATAATTCTAGCTGTGCCGGAAATCGTGTTTTAACGTAGCCCAGATAGCTGGTCCAAACGGCAGAGGCTATCCGTGATGTGCTTGCTGAGCCCATATTTTCTGGTTAAAATGTGGCAACGTCATCCGAAACTCACGAGAAGTGAGAATAGGTTATAAGAACGATTTCCAGGCTCAAATCGATATTGAACATCTATCTGTAAATCTGTACGGTTAATAGTCAGAATGACGATAAAGTTTACATCGGTAACATGTCGATTTAAGAAATAAATGCAGCAGGAGACTGCTGATCCAGTGATCATCCACCAGCTATCGTTAAGTTCAGATATAAAAAGAGGTAAAAAAAAGTAACTGCTGTTTGTTTTCACTGCATTGAAACTATTGGCATAGTTATCCTTGTGTGACCTACATGTATGTCTATTTAGCTGCTGGTCGTTATTTAAACCAGTGAAGTTGTAATATTGGAATGACAAAAGTTTGCTATCCGATGTTACAACTAACCATAATATCATTTGTTTGCTGGGAATGTTATTTGCGTATAATAGCAGTTTCTAATGCATGTGAGCAAATCGAAATACCACACCAGTAAAAATGAACGATAGTCTTACATTCGTTCCGAAATAGCCATAATTTATCTTTTATTTTGTAATAAGCGGACGCAGTTTTTGGAAAAATTTAGGAAAAATCACCTTTATATTACTAATTTAATAAGGTAAGCCATGTCAATTATTTACTTCACAATTTTTTTTTGCAGGAGCTCGTACTATTCTATCTGCAGAACGTTACCAAGAGGATTCGAACCGATTTGCGGTTCGTAAAATAAAGACCAACAGAAAGAGCGAATGTCTGTATTGCTCCCGCAGGCAAAATTCAATGAACAGTTTTTACCTGTCTTAGTAACAAAGTTATAATTCATTAACCTCTCGCAAACCAGTAATGAGATTGCATGTTTTCTTTAACAAAAAGCTTACTTTGCTGATTGAAAACCGCGCCTAATATTTAAAGCACACGATATTATGAGAACACTTAAATCAACATTTTTTCTACGCGCCATTTCATCCTGGCGTTAAACTTATTTCTTAAGCTACATGTATTTTCAAAGCAATGCTTGTTATATAATGTATAATATATTCACCCAGAAGAAGTTCATTAAATGTAAAATAGTTTCAAAATGTACCGCGAGGAGGAGCCACATGTATCAGATCCAACATGGCAGCTTTCACCGCGTTTCGACTAAAACTGGCATGGCGTCGATACATTGGATCGAGCCAACCAATATGAGCTCGCTGTTATTTGGAACTTTCTGCATATTTTACTCTTCCTTTACACTTGTGCATTCTCAAGGTACGTGTATAAAATTTTTTACCCGATTTTCCGAAGCGCTTTCGGAATCCAAAGTTATTATTTGTGCGTGCGGTGTCATGTATACATTAAACGTAGTCAATTACATAATATATTTAAAACTTGCAGCTGCACCGGAAATCATTCGTCAACAAATTCCAAATGATTTAGCCGAGGGACAAAGGCTTTCTGTGATGTGCTCCGTGAGGTCGGGAACACCTCCAATTTCGTTTACGTGGCGTAAAGATGGAAATTCAGTTGCAGCTTTACCAGGAGTGAAAATTTCTCACATTGATGACTTTCAAGATTTATTGCACATTGAAAGTTTATCGGTAGATCACGTTGGAAACTACACATGTAATGCAAAGAACCTGTACGGCTCAGGTCAGATGTTTATTCATGTAGGTATGAACTTTGCACCCAAATGGATTGCATCTGTGCCCGGTAATGAGCAAACTGGCCTGGTGACAGCTGTAGCTGGGGAAGCCGTCAGAGTGGATTGTCGAGCAAGTGGCCATCCGCCCCCAATAATAAGGCTACTAAAAGGTAATCACCAAATCCACGGTAGTCTGAATATCGTAAATATATATAATTTTCTGCCTATACTGAAAATTTATGCGTAAGATTAAAGTCATTGGATGGTTTATGATATCATCTAAAGGGACATAACTGTCTCTCCCGATCGAGTGGTATGGTCATCTAACGATCATACGATTTTTTAATTGCTTTAAGTATTAATAGTAACTGAGAAAGCGTATGATTTCTCACTTGCTAGCCTATTTACTTTGTTAAAGCTAGCTACTTGATCAGGCCAGTAAACGCTTTTAGCATGATTACGTTGAGCAATATTTGGTAAAGGGAAAAGAAAGTAGGATAAAATCCTAACAGATCGCAGCTTAATTTATCAATCTGTACATGTGACAAATTATTAAAACACGCACGAAGACGCGCACGCCTAAAATGTAAACTCTTTTCCAGGAAACCAAGTCCTCTCTGAAAAACGTTATCGACTTGATTCTAGCGTACTGACAATTCCAAAAGTGGAGGTCACCGACAAGGGCGAATATACTTGTTTTGCTGAGAATGCGATGGGAAAAATTCAAAGGAAGGTTACTATAATGCTTAACGGTAAAGTGTACGCTTAAGTAGTTGTTGTAGTCACTGTGTTTATCGCTCCTTGGATATAAAAGCGTATAAGAGGTAGCCATTCACGTCAGTTCTGGTGCGGTCAGTGTACATTTGAAACACAGGAGAACTGAATCTGTGAATTTAATTTGTGTAGGTGTTCCTCAACTAGATGAAGCGACAGAGATATTAATTATAGCGATACGTTTTATAAAGGGAGCCACATGTCTTACACTTAGCATGATGTCGGTGTTGTTTTCTGCGCAATATGCGGTCGATGCTCCAAAACGACCTGTATTTATTTTTCCTTTGTGAAGTGGTCTACTCTCGAAGTAAGTTATTGTTGCATTTTAGATATACTCAATAGATGGAATACCTGACCTCCACAACTAATTTTACTAAGAAAAACTAGATATATAAATACAATATATCCATGTGAATGAAAAAAAAACGTGTTTCGTGTTTCAGCTACACGAGAAATTACACTTACAAAAGTTCTGAATCATTTGGTTGAGGGCCAACGGCTTTCACTAATATGTTCTATGAGATCAAGCACTTCATCTGTATCGTTTTCCTAACAAAAGAACGGAAACTCAGCGGGGACCTTATTCGTGGGTGTCAGGATTGCTTACGTCGATGGTTTCCAGGGTTAATTACAGATCAAAAGCCTGTTTGTAAATTATGTTGGTGACTACGTGTCCAATGCAAATAATTTATATGGGGCCCACCATATGTTTTTTGATTTTCTTATGAAGTTCTTACCGAGATGGATCATAGCTAGTGATAGTGCAATAATTGTTAGAGCAGTAGCCGGCAAAAGTCTACAATATGACTGTCGCGCAAGTGGACATCCTACTTCAGTAGTGGGGATTACCAAAAATAAACTGCTTTAGTTGTGAAAATATTCTGCAATTTTTTTAAATAATCGCTAAAAGGAGATAGAGCTACGAGAAGGGATTGGATTTCTAATATGTTCAATATATTACCTTATTAGAAAAGTTCGTCTAGGAAATCTTAATCGCGGCTAAAATTGGCTTAATAAACTAAATAAATTGCATGCATCTACGCCTGCAAAATATACAATTGCAGAGGTATGCTTAACTTATTTCGTCTAATTTTTTTTTTAGCTTTCAACGTTAAACTTCAACTAAATATTTTTAAATCACTTCCAGAAAACCTTTCCATAGACTTCAGAAAGTAGTTTCCATAGACCACCAAGTCGTTAATAAATTTAGAATATCAACTATCCAACAAACTGATTCCTTAGACAGAGGCGAATATGTCTGCCAAGTTGGAAAATCAACTGCCAAAGTATAGGGAAATATGATATTTGTGTTGAGCGGTACGTAGAACAAATCGTTATCGGTGGGGGCTGAGCCTCATTGGATGGTGCGTAAACAGATCCGAAAACTAACGTTTTTGAAGCCGATTTAGGTGGGGATTTCAAAGTCACATGATGGCGGTGTAGTTTAAATTCAAAGCATACAGCATATACTCGAAGTGAGACAGGTTGATTATTTTTGCTCCAAAGATTCTTTTCCTTGTGCTGTATTACTAGCTTCGCATAGTATAGTGAAGTTCCGATTAACCCTTTTGCAAAAAGAAAGCAATTGATGCATCTTTTATATCCCGGAAATGGTCGACGGTTTGTCGTCTTTTATGAATAGTTTTCAGAGTGTCCCACGAGGGCGAGCCACTAGTGCTGCATTCAACATGGAGTCACTCGCCTTGAATGTAAATGCCATTGGCGTCGCTTTCAATATGTGGTTGAACATGGATTCATTAGTATCACGCTTTGTTTCTGTTATCTTGTGTGTCGTAACGACAACAAGTGCCCAAGGTACGTGGTTTACGTTTTTATTTGCTATCGTTACTTGTAAGTTAACTAAACACTCCTCATTGAAAAGTCTATTAAGAGCCATGATATACAAATGCTTAATAACCTGCCACAAATAAAATTTATATGCTATTTCCATAAAACAACAGAATTCGTGAAATAACAAAATATAAAGACGGACAAGTGAGCTAAGTTTAGCAGTGCCCAGTTGGTTACAAAGTAATTCTCTTTAATTTGAAAATTTAACGCTCATGAAATTATACGTACTATAGCTGATTGTATCAAAACCTAGGGAGATGAACAGTTTTTCTTTTTATGTTTCAGTTGCACCCGAAATCGCTCCACACAGGAGCTTGAATGATCTTTCGGAAGGAAAACGCCTATCGTTAATTTGTTTAGCGACGTCCGGTACACCTCCCATCTCGTTCTCTTGGTCAAAGGACTCCGCTCCGATTGGAAATTTGTTCGGAGTTAAAATTGTTCATATCGATGACTTTCAGTATCAGCTACAGATCGATAAATTAACAATCGAACATGTTGGAAATTATTCTTGCAACGCCAAGAACATATATGGATCAGATCATATCACTATCCCAGTTATTATGAAATTCGCACCTCAGTGGGTGTCAATAAATCACGAGACTCCCATTGGAGGAGTCGCAGGAGAATCAGTTCAAGTTGATTGCAGAGCCATTGGACATCCGCAGCCTACTATAAGAATTCTAAGAGGTAAGTGCAGCTATCTGTGCTGGGTATAAATTCATTTTTCTAATATTTTTAAATTAATCTATGGCACCCCCGAGTTCGAATCCAAGGAAGTGTGAGTGAAAGAAAGTGGTTTGCTTTTGGTTAGTACTTGCTGATCATTCAAGAGTTAAGCATAGTTCTTCGGTTTTACGTTTAGCCGCATGTGTTTCTTCTATCATATTATGGGTACAAGTTAGTAGATTGTTTGCATATACGAAAAACACGCATTAAAAAAGCGGATCTTGTTTAATTTCAGAGTCAACTGTTATACCCGATGACCAAGTGGTGAATGGCCTTTTGACTATTGCCTTAGTAACTTCCCGTGACAAGGGCGATTATCAGTGCGAGGCGGTAAACTCCCTGGGAAAACTCCTCAAAACTGTTACCGTATCTCTTAGTGGTAGTGTGCCGCTCCTTATTTAAGACAGACGAATTTTTTAGATACACACATACAACTCGCGCAATATGTACATCAGCCATACGCCTAATATTCTTATTGATCTTAAGCTTTTGCATATTTGCTAGATTGCCAAGATCTGCTGTGCTTTACGTCTGCGACATTCTTAACTACAGAACAGTTAGAAATGGTTTGGTTAATAGGCGTCGTTGATAAAAGTGTCTACAAAATGTCCCACTAGGCGGCGCCATGAGTACTGTTTCACAGAAGACTGCACAAATCTTAGGTGATCGCAAACCAAAGCGTAGCAGCCGTGTGTGCAACATGATATCGATTGGCTCCATACGATCACTCTTAATTTGGACTAGTCTATCAATACATTACGTTCAATGCCAAAGTAAGTTCTCTTTTTCTTCATGAACATGTATACAACCTTTGTGCTTACAATTAGCAGGCGTAGTAGAAGTTTCTAATTTATCACGTTCCTAGGAAGCTGCATAGATGTTTATTATATACATTAGCAAGTTAAACTAATGTCTGTGTGTTTTCCAGTTCCGCCACAAATTGCGCCTTTTAAAGTTCTTGAAGATCTCTCAGAAGGTAAACGTGTATCTTTGATATGCTCCGTGACTTCAGGCTCTCCTCCCATCTCATTTTCGTGGTCCAAAGGTGGCCGTCCTGTCGGTCCACTGACTGGCATAAAAATTATTCACTTCGATGAATTTCAAGATCAGCTCCAAATAGAAAAACTTCGCTCTGAACATGTTGGAAATTATACTTGCAATGCAAAAAACTCATTTGGCACAGATCAAATGTCTGTAGCTGTAGCATTGAAATTTAAACCATTTTGGAGAACTGAGGAGCGTCGACGCATACTCGCAGTAACTGGTGAGAAAGTTCAAGTGGACTGCAGAGCCGTCGGGCATCCGGAACCGACAGTGAAAATATTTAAAGGTAAATTTTTTGTCATCCTACAAACGAATAACCAAAGTAACAGAGATGCGTGTTTACAAAATGTGATTATGGATTAGTCTATTTGACCTAAATCGAGCCCGCTATCGCAGGTAGCTAGGTAGCCACTGACCGTGTTAGTTCCGTTTTCGTCTATTGTAATCAAATTTTATTTATTCACCTTTGCTGGGGGTAACCAAAAGTTTGATACAGCCTTCATATATACAGGTTAACAACACAATATCCCAAGAGAGGGTATATAAAATTATTTAAAATAGTTTGCGTCTTATGAATATTTGTGTATTAATTGCCTACCAGTGCTTTAGGACACAGACTAAAGCAGTGTTCTTTAGCTCACCTTTAAAGATCGGCCATGAGGTCGAGTCGCGAATGTTAAAATTGTTGACACATTTACAAGCACACATTTCATGGGCTCTCGTATCCTATTTGGAATTACAGCCAAATCCTTACTCCCTCTTCTCAGTATACTTTTACGTTACGGCAATGAAGGTAGGCTCGTTGAAGAAAACGACATTCTTAATTCTAGAGAAATCTCATCACCGTATTTTGAAAAACTCAGATCAATCTGTTAATCTAAAGCGACTGTTACTTTTTACATTTCAGGCATAATGGAGATTAATGACCCACAACTTAACGTTAATGGCTTGCTCACGATAGACCCGGTTTCATTCGCTGATAGAGGCGAATACCAGTGTGAAGCTTCAAATTCTCTCGGCCGAATATCTTCCAGTTTTACACTAATTCTTAGTGGTAAGGTGCCGAAACACCAAAGCGCCAACGTTTTGTTGCAGACGAATCTATTTGATATGAAGACGATTTTTTAAGGAGAGTCGGCAGAGCCTGTATTGAGACAAACTATGAATTTGTGTTAATTATAGGTGCTGGAATTTTATTTTAGGATATACATGATTTACATAAAATTCCAAAAATAATATTGTGTAGATGACGATCTAATTACAACGGGTCCCGCGAGACGGAGCCACCTGCACTGTCAATTAGTCGTCGCCGGGCAGCTGTATGAGGTAGGAGAAAAAAATTGCTGTAGTGTTCTGGCATTACGACGAGATGCTCTTACAAGCCAAAATAAAACCGTCATGGATAGTTTTACTTATCATGTTAAAGCGTTGGATACCTTGTTTATGCGGAGCACCCCCGCAGATTGCACCTTTTAGAGTTCTCGAGAATCTTGTAGAAGGCCAACGTCTATCTTTGATGTGTTCCGTGACGATCGGGACTCCTCCAATTGCATTTTCATGGACAAAGGACAGCAACCCAGTAGCATTACTGCCCAGTGTTAAAGTGGCCTTGGTAGACGATGATCAGGAACAATTGAAAATAGAGAAGCTTTCCTCAGATCATGTTGGTAATTATACCTGTGCAGCCAAAAATGCATTTGGATCAGATCAAATGTCCGTTAGCGTTGTCCTAAATTTCAGGCCACACTGGGTCAATAATGAATCCAAAGTGATAAATGCAGTGGCTGGCGAACAGCTCAAGTTGAACTGTGAAGCTATTGGACACCCTCATGCTACCATAAAAATAAGCAAAGGTATGTTTGTTCGTGTAGTTTTCTCATAGATACAAATAAGTAGTGTTATATATTTTAACAAAGTATAGTATATCAAGATATACAGACGCTTCTTTGAGCGCAGCCACCGAGGCCCACAAGAATCTGAAAAGTGGGCGTTAATCACACGCACAAACCTAAGTGTTAGCTCTATAATTGCATAGTTAATTTTAACCTACTATACCTTGTTAGCATACTATATGCGAAATATAAAGGGATGACAAAGCAGGCTGTCATATACATAATCCTTATGAATGATATATTATAATTTTCTTATAATAATCCCACTCACACTTTACTTTTTCTTATTACCTATTCTCAATTTTTCTACTACTGGATGCTATTGTGATTTCTAAAAGATGCCGCTAGGGGGAAGCTTATCTCTATAAAAATGAAAAAAACTTGGTTTAACTTTTGCTTATGAATGAATAACAATTGGTATCATTTTACCTTTGGTAACAAAACCAGCTTTCTGAAAACTCGCACACAGTAAGGCATCATCCGTATGGGAAAAAATTACGTCACCGTTACATATATGTATATAGCTTGAGCCCACGTTAGCCAATATAGCCATGATGATTATTTTATACCAGTATTGCACTAAGTATGTAATATAGATTTAGAGAACATATCTCATTTATTCTCTAACGAATTAAATATTGCTTACTTTTAGGTGGCTTGGAATTCACAAGCACTAGGGTGGTAAATGGAGTATTGACACTCAATTCGGTCACCCCATCTGACAAAGGGGAATACACCTGCGAAGCTTCGAATACTCTGGGAAAAATCAGCAAAACAATAACGATATCTTTAAGCGGTAAAACCGAGAATTCACAAACAAAAGCATCCGATAGTTTTTAGTAGTTAAATATGTCTTCTTTATTCAGGCACCTGAATATAGATATGAACAACAGTAATCGAAGACCACTAGCTTCCTCCTGAAACAACCACCCGACTTTCGAAGTACGCTAGGTAAAAGTGTACAAATAGTTGGAGGATAATATTTTTCAGTGCATGTCATGTATAATGATTCGCTCTGATACAATTAATACTGTTAACTTCACATGGCAATAGCTTGGAGAAACTTAAAGGTTTTCATGCACGTCAGGGATGCAAAATTACGCAATACCTGAAACGAATATTAGATATGTCCCACAAGGCGGCGCCACCGGTATGGTACAATCGTATCACTATGTTTGTGTTATGGGTAAGGGGTAACCTACTGTAAAGACTAGGATTGACGAATTCAACATGGCGGCGGTAACCGCGAAATGGTTCTCCTTTTTGTTCGTTTTGACACTCATTCGACAAACTCTAGGCCAAGTTCCGCCTCAGATATCACCTTTCAAAGTACTAGAAGATCTTTCAGAAGGAAAGCGCGTGGCACTTGTCTGTTCAGTATCTTCCGGAACTCGACCCATCTTGTTTCAATGGCTAAAAGAAGGGCAGACTATCGAAAATCTTCCAAACGTCTATACAGGTCAGACTGGCGAGTATCAAGCTAGCCTGCAAATTGAAAATCTTTCAGCTGATCATGTTGGCAATTATACATGTTCTGCAAAAAATGCTTACGGCTCAGACCAAATGTCTGTTGCAGTGGTACTTAATTTTAAACCACGTTGGATCAACAACGAACCAGAAAGTAAAAATGCGGTGGCAGGCAATATATTGAAAATAGATTGCAGAGCAATTGGTCGCCCACAGCCCGTTATCAAAATCATCAAAGGTAAGTTGATCCACTTAACGTTAGTCCACTTTTTGCTGAATTTACTTTTAGTTAGACATATGTTTGTAATAATAGTAGTGCTCAATACAGTGGTGCAAGTGAATTCTGAATTTAATTTTATCGTACTTATTGGAGATTAGGCTAGTAAAATGTTACGGCTTTTAAGCTTACAGCTTATGCTTACAGCTTTGTCTACCTCAATTAAAGATGTGCTTATCTAGAAACAGCTACCAAAGTCGCTGATAAAACCTAGATCACTGCCTCGGATAGCGTACCTTAGATAATTTCTAGTGTTGGTGAAAACACATTCTACTAGCTACCATATTCACTGAACTATCACAGTTATACGCGTGCGGGTCATCCTGTTCACCAGCGGGGCTTAGTCGTTTAAAATCATGTAAAGCCGTTTAAAGAATAGCGTCGAAAAATGTTTTATCGAAAGTACAGTATCAATACATTATTATATGATCTTTTTCATTTGCATTTAAGATGGCTGTTTCACCTAAAGTTAAGCGTTCACCACAACCCGAATTCAATCGTAGGTGTTTTATTCGAATTTGTATGTTGCCCAATTTCATTGATGAAATTTACTAACACTATATTCCATTTCAGATTTAACAGAGCTCACTGGCGGGAACATCACGCATGGCTTATTAACAATTAACACGGCATCAGCTTCCGATAAAGGAGAATACGGTTGTGAAGCTTCAAACTCTATGGGAAAAATCTCTCGACGGATATCGTTGACTCTCAGTGGTAAATCGCGCGCTGTCTTCAATGCAGACGAACCATTTGCCTCATTCATGAAATTAAAGTCGAATGACTCTGTTTTGGAAAAATGCACCATACGTTTTATTATTACCACATAACGATCGATCAACACCTGTCCTGTCAGCAGTTTCTGTCCATAACAAAATAGATTTTTAGAAATCTTTACAGAAAGTGAACTAACATTAGTCCACAAATGTCCCACTAGACGGCACCACTTGTATCACAAGTAGAAGTGCTATGTGTACATTTCAATCTGTATTCGTAGTTCAGCTTATTGAAAATTACCGAAACGATGCCGTTCTTTTTCATTATACTTTGGGTCCTGATGCATCAAGCACGAAGCAACGGTAAGTTTGACGTACACCTTATCAACCTTAAACAATAACCTTTAATAAAACAACCTTTAAGAAATTTGGATGAGTTAATAGTATACACAGATTCGTGATACCGAAAATGGACTAATATTTATTTTTTTTTTAGCTCCTCCACAAATATCGCCTTTCAAAGTGCTCGAAGATCTTACCGAAGGAAGACGACTAGTCCTGGTATGCTCAGTATTTTCTGGAAGCTTTCCAATTTCCTACCAATGGCTAAAGGATGGCTCGCCTGTGAAACTGCTTCCGTATGTACAAATTGTGCATGCGGGTGATTTTCAAGATAGCCTACAAATTGAAAGACTTACTGCCGAACATGTTGGTAATTATACGTGTAGTGCTAAGAACGCATTCGGCTCTGATCAGATGTCAGTGGCTGTCGTGCTACGATACAAACCCCGTTGGATAACTACGGGTGATGATGTACTGAAGCTGGACTCGGTTGTTGGAGACGAGCTGAACGTCGACTGCAGGGCTAATGGGCATCCAGTACCAAATATACGGATCTCAAGAGGTAAGAACTCGTTATGTAAGTAGTGATGAAGCCTTGTAAATAAAATCAATTCCTGTTAATATTACAAATAAATATAAATCCTGTCTAGTAATATTGGCGTGACGTGTTTCTATTGCAACCACGTACATTATGATTTACCACGTTTATTACATTATAGTAGTTCTTCTAGAAACTTTTGATCATATTAATATAGCAACTTTATATATACGCAAATATGTTTCGTCAGGATTATATATATCCTTTCCTGTCAAACTTGTTTTTTAACGCTATCCTAGTTTTACGTGTTCAACAATACATGATCGACAAGCGTTTAAGGTTATTAAGTTACACGTTTTTAACTTTCGGTTTCAGGTGGATCAAGCTTAACTTCAACGAGTCGGCTTCATGTTCATAATGGACTTTTGACAATAAAATCAATATCACAAAATGATAAAGGCGAATTTATTTGTGAGGCTTCGAATAGCCTCGGAAACATAACGAGAACCATTTCTCTTAGTCTTACGGGTAACCAAGTGACTATTTATAACAAACTTCATATATGGAGCCTGAACGAATTGTAGACACCATATTTTTAAGATTTCCTGTGCAAATTATTCTAAGCAAAGTGCTTACCACCAACGAATTCAGTATCAGTAATTGAAACGAACCACTGCCCAGTGCTACGCGGTAGAGGACCACATAGTACAGGATAAAGAACAAGGATATTGCAAATAACCATAACAATGCTAAATGGCATTTTTAAGCTATTCTATTGTATCCATAGCAAGCGCTCAAAAGGCCTAACTAATCACCCGAAATAATATTATTCATAATAATACGTAATACTCGTTTGCGCAACTACGCGCCATACTGTTATTGCGTAGCAGTGTGCAGTTCCCTAAATTGTGAACTTTAGTTACAGCCAACATATTATTGATGGTGCTGAGTTCATTTGGAAGTATATTTGTTTTGTTATTTCTTCTCCAGTGCCGGCTCGTTTTAAAGAGAAGACTTCAGTTGTGACATCTCGGCGCTCTGAAACTACTACTCTCAAATGCTACGCCGTTGGTGACCACCCCATTTCGGTCGTCTGGTCAAAGGGAAATGTCAAGCTCGACAAAAGAACTAGCTCAAGGTTAGTTAAAAGCTTAGCATATCTTTATATGAATTTTAGGTAGAGATTCGTATGAATTAAAACTGTCTGGCGTAAAAGTACAGCTTTTTGTCTTACAGGACCATTCTTTTATTGATACAGATACCAGATCATCGAATCGATAACAACTGATGGGTTGAGCTCAGAACTGCGAATTCGAGAAACAGATCGAGCGGATTCAGCGCTCTACTCGTGCCATACAGAAAATAAGTTCGGCAATGATGATAGAAAAGTTAAGCTCGTTGTTAAGGACGTTCCAGGCGCCCCTCAAGATGTTAGGGTAAGAGAGACTAAATATGACTGTATACTGTTCGCCTAGTACCTAGACCTAATCTAGAAGAAGGTTTAATGTCTTTTGAGAAGTGAATGTAGAAATTCTATATGCGTTCGACTTTTTTGGACATAATTTCAGGTGAAAGATATTTGGTCAAGATCAGTGTCCGTATATTGGACACCTTCATATGATGGAAACAGTCCAATATCGAAATACATCGTTAACTACTGGAAACAACATGGTGTCTCTAATCGACCACAGGAATTTGGAGTTCCATCAGCACAACACTTTACCCTTGTGCGTGACCTACAGCCTGGCACCCAGTACGTACTCAACGTGTTGGCAGAAAACAGCATTGGCAAAAGCGAAGGTTCACGGACAGTCACGTTTACAACGAACGATGAGGAACCTGAGGCACCTCCATTGGATGTTAACGCTCTTACCCAGGGCCCGACTACTGTGTTGGTATCGTGGAAAGCACCCCAAAAGGATACTTGGAACGGCGATATTGAAGGCTATTATATCGGATTCAAGCCTAAGAATTCAAATGGAAGCACGTCGTACAAAAAGGTTGCTAACACAAAAATCGAGTAACGCAGAAACAATATAGACTCGTTCCTTTTAACTAAAACGGCACAGCAGGTAACTATGCTATTTTCTGTTTCAGGTAGAGCAGAAGAACAACATAACCCACGAATACATTCTCCAAGGCTTAAATAAGGGAACAGAATATGAAATCACCGTGCAGGCTTACAATCATGCAGGATCCGGACCTATAAGCCCGCAAAGGCTCGTAATGACCAGACCCGGAGGTAACAAAAACTTAAAAAAATTAATTAAAATGCTAAATCCTTAACTACGTTTTTTCCGATTAAAGATCGTGACCTTGATGAAGTCAGAATGAGCCGATCGCTAAAGTCGACCGACTAACTTACCGCTACATAAATATAATGCGATGAACTATAGTAGACTTAACTTCTAGCAATTACGATAAGTCTTGCCGCTCAAAGTCTATATCGAAGCTGGTCGTAACTACAAATATATGAACAAGCCATTGGTATAACACTGACGATTTTGTTTATTTATAATCATAGTTCTACATATTATTTACAGAGGATTCTCCTGACGTTCCACGGCTATTCGTCGACGCGGTCACTATGGATTCGATTAAGGTGCACTGGCAACTTCGCACAGGCGGACAGATTCTCAGTAAGTTACACTTGAGACTTTTTAAGGTAAAAATCAGTAGCACTTAGTACAGCTGGAGGGAGCGAAAGGTTTCATCATCAATATCTTTTGAAGTTTCTCTTTAGGTACTCAAAGTAAACGAAATGTTTTTTTCGACTATGACGGATAAATTATTATGACGACAAGATTTTCCCTTCGACATTTACATTGTTGCAGATTACACAGTTCATCACCGTCAGGCAGATGGGGGCGCGTGGCTTGAGAATGTTATTGTAAACTCAACCGACAACAGTTATGCCCTGACAGGTCTTAGAAGCGGCACAACATATGAAATATTTCTTACTGCTTCTAACGGAGCAATGAAAGGCGATCCATCACAGATCCTTAAAATCCAGACGCTCAGATCACGTAAGCGTCGTAATATGTTTAGTCAAATTCAATAGCTCATCTATAAGGTATCCCGAATAGCTTGCAATAGCAAACTCATCGTAATCGTTGACTTAATGACAAGTTGTCCTCTGCAGCCATTTAGAATACTAATGGGGTTCGCGCTTAGCGGTTAATCATTCCTGTGTGGCCATTTACAAAAGCTAACATCAAAATTGGAGGTATTTCGCTCTCTGTTAAAAGAGAAAATCTAGTAGGGGTACATTTCTGGCCTCGATGAATTAGCATGCAACTGCTAGACAATGCTGTGATTGTATCGCAAGCGCTAATGGCTCTTCTAATTGCTCAAACCTAAATGTGTATTGCGTGGAACCTGCAGCCGATATACTGGTGGAGATTTTCGAGTCCGACGGAGATCTCCCGATCTATATGAATATGTACCTCACGGTGCCCGCAGCAGCGCTTGCTCTGGCCATTATCGTCATTGTGGTTAGCTCATGTATTTGCTGTCGACAAATGAAAAATGTGCAACAGCCAGTGCCGCCACAAGGTAAGTACTAAATATATAGTGGAATATATTTCTACTATGTGTCATATTGTAATTTAGGTTACTACTTAATTCTACTTCATTGTCGAATGCATTATGTATATATAGAGTGTTAAATTGTCACACTGGAAACTGGAAGCTTTTGGATTCGTCTAGACCAAGAAAGACCTGTATACAAGCACAACATCGACTCTATCAGACTCTTGTTTGGTTTGCTAGGCGAAATGGCCTTATACGGGACCATGGTGCCACAGCGTTACATGGACGCCGCCGGCAACGAAGTAACGGTAACGTATGGCACTGTGCCCCCTGTTGACCCTGGAGCTATTCAACTTCAGGCCCAAACAGTGCAAATGCAAACTGCAGGCACCGCCACCGTCGTCCCAACAATTGCCAATGCAAACACGACCGGTACATGGAGTCGTAAAGAAGCGCCGAAGGTAATTTGCCACATTCTGCTATATGACTAGAATACGTCCTATTAGTTGTGACGGAACGAGGGCCTTTGCTCGCACTGACAGAAACGGTGCTTTCGTAGATCAATTCGCAATAGAATCTCCGAAACGGTATCTATGAGGTAATAGTTTAAATACTGTTTCAGAATCGGCCATTACCGGTTCCATCGGAAGCGAGCGACAAGGCGACGGGACATCTTTACGACAGCGCCCAGTAGAAGGAAAGAAGTAATAGCACGACTAACAAGCTCGATCCAACAACAAGACATGGCCTAATTTTCGGTCTCACACTTTCAGTTGAAAGCAAGTGTATTCAAAGCTGCCTCCCTTCCTAAGTTAAATTAAACTTACGGGAGTGGCCCATCGGCGACTTGAAAACCTCGATCGTATCATTGTCAAATGCAGAATCGTACGTGAGATTCAACAACCTTAACTGAAACGACAGTAGAGACTTATTTTTTCAACGGACCATCTTTGAGTTAAAGTCCATTTATGCCGACGTATCGCTCGTTCACAGACAGTACACATAGTACGACGGCGGGAAACTAAGTGACGAGTGCTCATAAGATTGGATACTATGGATTTGCAGTATCAATATGGATATTCGTTACTTGGGTCATCTACAGCCAAACCAAAGTGTTCGTGGTATACATTGTTGTTTTTTTATTGTCTAGTCAGATCTAAAATCAGCACGAAACGCAAGAATGAATACCATTTATAACTGTGTGACGTAGCCAAACCACTATTGACAAAACTCACAAACGAAAGCCTTTAAAAAATAATTGCAGATGAATGATTAGATACTGTTTTATATGACTAAATGACGCATCTGATCGTGAATGGACGAGTGACTATAAATAAACATAACGTAACTGCCCCTCTTATTGTTTACATCGATTGGATCGATAACGAAAAATGGAGCTTGCATGTGACATTTTCTCCCAATTCGAAGTAGTGCATGATGCCTTTGTACATATGAAGAGGCATGATGACTGCTTAATTTTTTTTGTTTACCCCGGCGATATCCAATGATCTCAATTACGTACGCTTACTTTATCCTACAATTTAATTATCATTCATTTTTTTATTCATCTAGTCAAATGGAGTAGTAGACTAAAACAGAACCCTCTATATAGGTTACTTTGATTCTTGAAAACACATGCTAACAAATATAGTCGGCCAGCAAAGAGTCTCTGGTCAATTATGCTGAAAATGATGACAAGTCTTAATTAATCTCTATAGGAGTGTCAAGCGTGTGCGTAACTTCTACCTAAAGTGGTAACGTTCGTAAACCTGCCCCGATAAGCATCATAAGTAGCTGCAGTTAGAGATAGCAACGTCGTGCGCTTAGAAAGCACTGAAATCGTCACTTCCAAATAGGTTCAGGTATGCTCAAATAATGCGATTCGGATGCATGCAGTTGAGCGTATGGGCTTATGATTCACAATGTAACTTTACAAATGGAAGGACGTCTGCACAGGTCGATTGTTTCACCTTAATCTGCGAGAGAATACGTCCGAAATGGAGCATTGTACCATTGCGACATAGCAAAAGCATAGATTAAACCGATGTAGAGATTTTAAGTTAACTAAGGACTAATTTAGTTACGGTTTCGCATAGTTATACAAGTAATGTGTGGGCTGTGTCTCTGTCGAGGCGCTGCTCCTGTACTCAATAAACACTTATTATATAATCATGTTTATACATGATACTATAATGCAAAAAAGTATGGACGAAGAAAATGAACTTTGATTGTGAGCTTAATAATTCTACGAAGCAATTTGCTGCAATAAACATAATGTCATTGTCTAGACGTGAAAACTTGGTGAACTTGTCTTTTTCTATGATATTATTGTTTAGTACTATTTCTTGCATCGCTTTAAGCTACTTCTATTTCAAACACGTGGTTTAAATCATTATCCTTAGTCAGCCATTGTAATTCGGTGCTCTATTAGAATAAAACTACCACAGAATTGACTATACAATTATAAATATATAAGTGAGTTTTAAGCGTTAATAAAATAAAAAAACAGAATAAAAGTTTACGAGTCGCATACTTAGCTCTATAATAAATTTTAAACCATTTTAGTAACTCAGACCGTTTTAACTAGCTACTCGTAATACGATAAATATCTCCATCAATTAAAGCATTTTTCAATAATTCGTCGAAATCACACAGATGACTTATTAAGCCGACTCGTCCCGTCGTATCAGTCTGCATCTCGTTCAGCTCCAAAACTCTCGACATCAATTTTGCAGAGCGTACTTAGGAACTAGAGATCACATCGTTAGGGGCCGTTCCCCCTGAGTGCCTCCTCTGGCCCCTCTCCCCTGCATTTCGTGAACCATAGGGACAGTAGTTGCTTGCGGAGCTCCACATAGTTTAACAGTCTTTTCGGGCTTTATAGCTAGCCGTCCTTTTCGATACTCCCATCTCAGGATTGTGTATGCTATCCTATGAGACCGATGCTGTATACGAAGGGAGTGCTTGGAGCTTCATGCTTGTCACCTGATTGCGACGCTCATCTCTGAGGGAGCTGAAAATCTATTGTGTATATATGCTGTATTTGGAGCTGACGGAATGCTCTCCGTGCAGAACTTTTCATTTCTCAACCACGGTCATTTTCTCTCTTGTTCGTTAAGGTTGAGTCATTCACTCCCCACTCCACGCCTCTCCTAAAGTGCGTCATCGGTCTGCCCCCTCTTTCGCTCCCTAGGCGCCACGCCACGTGTGCTCCACTAAGGGGTATGTCCCCTTTTGGTTGGCATTTACCGACAATGCTATTGTCATATTATGAATATATATTCGCACTTCATGCGAATATATATTCATAGATAACCAAGGCATAATTTTGAATTAGTAATACTTTAACACTTCTTCAATGAACAAACATGTACACGCAGACTTATAGCCATTTCCGTCTGCAAGCTGTTGGGAAAACTATCTATAGGCGCATTATTTGAATCTAAATAATTGCGCGGCAATAACAGTTCTAATATTTGCAACTAAATAAAATATCGAAGGTGAGATTTGTAAAAATATACTAAGTTTATTCCATTTTGCCGATTCTGTACTATTTGTCTGAACTTTAATCTCATGCCAACTTAGCTTTTTATCAGATACCTATTAGTGTACACGTAAAGATGAAGCCATCTGTAATATCGGCGAACCGATGTGATCTGAGAGTTTTTTCTTTTTTTTTATTATTATTTTTTTACATTTTAGGCTACGACCCATTACTATATATATGTGACATTATTATTTTTAATTAAATAATTAATCAGTTAGTTTGATAATAATATTAATAATTATTACCATTAATCAAGCTCTCCTAGTAAAATATGGTTTAAGGTAGACCCTTTATGCTGAAGTCCGTTATGATTTGCTAAGTGCCCGACACTGGTTTTAGCAAAGAATCACGCCTCCTCAGAATTCGCATTATTCTCATAATAACCATCTCTATTATTTATATAGCATCACCAATACCCAGTGTAATAACTACGACATTAGCTGTTTATATTTAGAGATAACAATACGCCATTCTACTAGTTCATTTGCAAACTTGTCCTTAAATTTTGTCTAGACACATAAAAATTTAACCACATTCAACTAAAGAAAGCTCGACTGGAACTATCGTAAATTTAATTCTAAAATTTATATATCTATGACAAACGCTCTATTATAGCCCTTGAAGTTTTTTAAGAAAAAAAAAAAAAATTATCGATATGAAGTTGAGTTGAAGGCTCCTTTACTGAGTAAAGTTTATTTAGTAGAGTTATTGATACCAGAAGTGTTTATTGCTTTTGGACGATTGCCCATAGGTTTGCGTATTAAAAAGGTCTTAAGCTCTAATCCAATATTCGGGTCGGCACGTCTGAATTGAGAATTATCATTTCATATTGCCTTTAAATGAAAGTAAATAGTTCAACTAAGTGTTTCGCAGTTGCTTCAACTATTAATTGTAAGGCTCAGATCTATTCAATCTAACCACTACCACCTACCGTTATCGCATTTTTAGTTTGGAACCTAAACCCGTCTATGATAGTTTTGGAAATATCTTTCGTCAGCCGGAAATTCACTTTCTAATAGTACCCATGCGCGAAGCGATACTGATAAGGAAAGTTTATTAAGCGTTGCTCAGACAGACTGCATGCAAAAAGTTTAAGCGAAATTTACATTCGCGTTAATGGCAGGCCAAAGAGGACACCCAAAAATGCAGGAGGGCAAAACTGCCAAAAAATGCAGAGAGTCTTAAAAGATCTAACCGTTCAAGACCCTTTGGACGACCCAGATGGTAATTTTCATTCTTCTCTCCAAAACGGCCGTTCATTTCTGTATAAAAAAATTCGACAGTGTTAAAGCTCTGTCTTTAATCGCCTTTACTGAACTTCTTAACGCTTTAAGTAAAAGCCCTATTAAGGATTTTGCGGTTTGCCTTATGAAGGCCGTTTGAAAGCCACATGACAACAGTCGATTTCGAATAAAAAAGCATTTTCAGTTCCTTTGATGTCTAGCCTAGTGCGAAGATATTGGAAAATGACTAATCTTCACCAAAATTTAGAAAACGACGAACTATTTTTCACCAAGACGAGTTTGTTTTTTGTCCAAAAAAAAAAATTGCCCGAACATACCATATTTCTTTGACTAATACATATCGAAATACTATAAAGTATTAACAGACTTACACCCTTTTAACTAAGGATCTCTTCTCGCATCTGTTAGTCTAGAAGATTATCGTTACTACTTGCGATTATGTGTTTATTGTTTTTTAAATATGCACAAAACTTCCGCGTGCTTTAAATGGCAGAGTGACTGGCCTTCATCTCTTGAACTAATTATTTCTACAGTAAAAAAATCCTACCAGTACCTGCCTTATCGTGAGTATGTGGCGTGTTCGACGTGCAGTGTCGTTCAGCGATCGTCGTCATTTTATCATGCCTAGGATCATTCTACCTAACTCAAATGCAATTTCTCTTTCATGGTTTACCATCATTTTCTTAATTATCCTACACTTGTATCACTAGTGACTAGTCCTGCGGTTCCTTCATTATTACATCTATATTGTGTTATACTTCATGTCAGTTCTATCAGTTTCTAACCTCACGTTCGATGCTGCTGTTGTTGTTTAGTATGATTCTTATTACACAGCAAAATTTATCCGTGCCCAGCTTTGACCTTAGACTATCTAGCCTGTAAGTTTTATAGGTAGCAGTTTGTTTTAGGTGTCCCTGAATGATTTTTACCATCATTTTTAAGCATTTGAATAATTAGGCTCGCAAGTCTGCTTTTCTTATGAAATTTTCTTCATTAGTTATATACAGTATACATTAGTGGATAATAGTTACTTGTAATCATGCGATGAAGTATTTTGTCAACTGCCAACTGCTGTGTTTTGATTGCTGTGCTAAACTTTAACCTCTTTGGTAGACCACGATAAGTCGATATATAGTTATTGATGGTTTCTAGAGTCTATTCTAATTTCGTTCTATATATAAAGGGAAGGAACTATTAATAGATGACATAGGTTTTGCCAGCCGAAGCAATTTTCCAAAATATTTTTGGTTTCAATATCCAAGCTTGGCCGCTAAATAGAGCATCTTGTTAGTGCTTTTATCTTAACGACGACGACGACGACCCTATAAAAAAACTTGTAGGCAAAAGACGACCTATATGACGAGTATGTATTCTGTCACTTCCGATGGCGACTTCACCAGTGATGGAAAATCCAGATAATGATATCGTAAGGAAAAAATAAATAGGATTTTCATCAAAAAAACACAACTATCTGAATTTTCCATTACCGGCGAATTTATAGTCAGTGAATGTGTACTACCGTACTATTTATATTTCTCTTTCTGTTTGAAATACCTCATAACTTCCTACTCCGGTGGCTTTTTGTATATTACCACAAACGTCGTGAAGTACGGACACGTGGGGTTGTGACTTCCATATTTTGGCTTTACCTTATTCACAAGTGCTGTGGTTAACGCTCAACGCCTTCAATTTCCTCCTTGACCCCGTCCCAAAGAATTGACCTAGCTGTTTCGCATACAATATCCTAATGTATTCATTGTTCTCTCTAGTTTGTGCGGTCTTTTGAGTATAGTCTCGATCGACCATCTACACTGCCACGTTCTAAGGTTCTGTAATGATAGGTATTCGAGTAAATATATAAATAAAAAAAAAAATGACGTATCATTAGAATCAAACTGCTGTTAGTCATAGTTCGTATCGTGCGTGGCGTTGCGCAATCTCACTGCAAAAACATTTGGGATATTATGTGAGATCTTCAGGATCGGATAAGCAATAGATGTTACTAATATTTAATGAATACGATAACGCCTCAAAGCTGTTTAAGTGTTCGTTGATATGCTTCGGACAATTTGAAGGTCGGCTTACTTTCTGATAATCGGTATCCTGCTTTTTAAAATATTTGCTACC